GTGATCATATTTTAAGGGATTTGAGGCTAGATTCCACTAATATCCCCTTTATAAACAATTAATTATTGTGACATGCCCCAAAAAAGTAGTTTTGGTTTTTTATCCTGTATACATAAAGTTCTGTCCCTCAGCAGTTTTTTAATGGCACAGAAAAAAGATTGATGGAAGGAGAGAGCTTCAGGGGATGTGGGGGAACATAAATTTGCTGTATGGAGTGAAATTAGACTGCCATTTAATGTACAAAATAGTAAGTATAATTTTGCACATCTTGTAATGTGAGGAAAGATACACAATGCCCTTTTGACTGAAAAGCAAGGGCTGAAATGCAGGATAATTTAAAGCACCATTTAAAATTATGTTCTAAAATTAGAAGACAGAAAAGATTAGAATTATTACATTTTCCATGTGTACTGCATTTGTCTCCTTCACTGGTTTCCATTACAGCAGGGTCAGGAAACTGTTCCATCCCTTAGCCTAAATATGACTTCTTAAAATGAATAGCAAAAGGATGCATTATAAATATCGATATTTAAATACTATGGTTTGATGGAAATGCATTTGAACTTTTTATGTTTACATTTTGTTATATTAAAATAGATTACTTGTCTCATTTCAGATAGCTTTTTATGCACTGAGTTAGAATCACCTTAATCATAAATTATAAACACCAAGATAGTGCTTTTCAACTTGTTTAATTAACTAAATTGTATTTCGAGTGTGGTGGATTATAAAAAGGTCAGTTTATCAAAACATTCAAACTTAAATTTTATGGCTCACCAGGAAGGCTAATAGAGTTTGTAAGTAAGTAGAGATGATTGTTTTTGCATGTCTATCCACGACTTGAAAGTTATACAATTAGTAGCTCTTGCCCTCTACATCTACTTTATTTGAAACTGGAAAGAAAATTTGTATTATTCCAAATTCTGTGTTGCTTCAGAGCTCTGAATGAAAAGCTCACTGAGCTGAAATAGTTCACCTGAAATGAAGGAAAAACATCTCTCTGAACTTGCATGGAAGAACGCCTGTAAAAGGCATTAATGATAAAAGGTATAGTAAAAATAGAGGGTATTTCTATGAAATGAAGTGGTCTTTGGCCATATTTAGTACAGGGAATGCCAACACAGCTTTCTGAGGGGTCCTCACACCAGTAGGCCTGCCTGAGGGGCAGGGGTGGAGGGAGACTGTGGAGTCTTTTTCCTCAACGATGCCCACTTAGCAGAATGAGAGTATTCTAGTTCTGCAACAGCTTGTCCTGACTGACAAGTGCCCTTTGCTTGGTGCCTCTCCTGCCTGCTTCGACCCCCACTTCTGCCCAGCCAGTTGCCCAACCCAGGACTGTGTTACTTTCCCACCAGATGCCCAAGGCCCTGCCTTTACCCCCACCCACAGCCCCTGCCTGCTGTAGACAGCTGCTCCTGTAACTGGCTCGTCTTCTCTCCCATCTCCCCCACCCTACGCTGCTCCCTGCTGTCCAGACTTCTCCACCAGGGCTGTCGCTATCCCTGCTCTGCCCTAGCCCACCACACTCCACCATCCTGCCTTGGTCCCTCTACCTCCACACACACACCCTCCCCAGACTACCCTTGCTGCCTCATGTTGTTAAGGATATAGAGCCAAGCCACAATGACAAGCACTTCCCAACGAGTTTGTTTACTTCATCTGGGTGGAGGACATGTTTCTGTGTCTTTCAGAGTCAGGAACTCCACCTTGCCAGCATTTTGAGCTGAGTGAAGAATCATGCTTTTGACATGGCTATTTCCTCAGCCACCATAAATTAGCCAGGTTCTTCTCCAAGCTTCTCCTGTCATAACTGCTCTCCTTTTCCATCTTAGTTTTCCATCTGCTCAGTCTCCTGAAGAAAAAGGTTACCAGGAGGGAAGGAGCCAGAGTACCCTGCATTACAGCCTGCCATTAGAAAATGCTTATTGTGACCGCCACATCCAAACTACAGAAGGAAACAGAAGCAGCAGCTAGAGAATGCTAGAGATAGTACCTCTAGCCTCCAGGATGTCCTAGCCCCTTTTGCTTGTTCCCAGGAGTTGAACTTGATGATTGTTGTGTATCAGTTCCAACTCAGGATATTCTATGACTCAATGAACTCAATAGAACTGTCTCACAGCAGCCCTCTTTCTGAAACATGGGGAAGTTTCCAAGTCCTGTTTCTAAGATCTGTTGGAGTAACAAACCTTTTTTATTTGTCTCTGTGTTACAGAAAGCAAAGAAAATGCAACAACCGTCAGTACAAGCACAGTTTCAAGCGTGGAAAAATAATCAAAGATCCTTAGATCTTTCATGTCTCTTCAAATCATATGGAACAAATGTTTACAGCTAATTCCACATGGCATTTTATTTTCTTCTAGGGAGAAATTAGATTTCACAGTTGAAGGAACTGAGCTACATCCAGTAAAAAGGGAGGTTGCAATTCTCTAGGTAGGCAGAAATTTGTACATGGCACAGGCCACTCTCTGCACTTTCTGCCCTGAAGGATCATCCATCCCCTCAGCATAGCTGGGTTGGTCAGTGCAAGCACGAACTGACTCAGCAAAGTGAGTTTGCACATAGAGGAAGGGCAGCCTGCACAGGGAAAAGGCAGTGCAACACAGACATATTTTATTCCTGGAGATGTAACCTCATTTAAAAATGGAAAAAAAAAAAAAAACAGAAACAAAAAGAGTTGAACATTTCATTTGGTATAATTTCAGCTGTTGTGATTTCTTTTCCACAGGCAAAAGAAGAAGAGCATTGTGCAGTGGATTTGGCCAGGAAGTAGTTTAGTTTCACTGTCAAGATTTTTTTTAGAGATTGGATTTTTTTTCTCTCTTGAATTGTAATGAGAAGTCAAAATCTGGATAACATTTTTTTAAACTTGAGCCAGAGCACTCCCGTAATGAAGTGGCTTATATATGCTGCAATATAAGCAACTGCTCCCTCAAAGACTGAATACTCAGTATTCTGTTTCAGAGAACCAAGGGATGTAATACTTTTATAGGCTTTTTTGAGTCTTTTAGGTGTTTCTTTTAGCCTGTGCTTTTAACCTTCTATTGCATCCTAGAATTAGGTCACGTGCTTGCCACAGGTCCACAGACAGAGGCAGAAGGCATGCTATTAGATTACAAGGTGATCAAGTATGTAATTTACTATGCAAGGACGTATCCAAAGATACTGAGTACCTAAATTTAACAGAATATTGTTTTCAGACACATTAGAACAAAGAGTATGTGTCTTTTCCCGTATCAAGAAAAAAAAATTTTAACTTTTATATTTAACTCTAGTTATAACTTTATTTTATAAATATATTTAATGAAACTTGTAGGCACTTACTAATTATTTCATAACTTATATTTGATATATTTTATATCCCTGCATTTTTAATAGTGTTTATTAATAAATAAGTGTTGCAATGTACAGTTTAAAGAACATAACGTTCTAATATTTAAATGAAATTACATACTGTGATAAATCCTTTTGTCTCTATTCATTTCTTAGCACAACTTTGTCAAATCCAGAGATGATTTTGTTAGTGTTTCCACGAGTAGAAACGGAAGTACTTGGCCTTTTTTCTAAGCCCCACTAAGAGTAGATTGTAGTCATTCCATGTGGCTTCAGCTGGTCCTCTCTGAGCTCACAGTGTTAGAGCTGATGTGGATTAGACATCTAATCTTACATGAGTAATGTTATCAGTCCTGGTAGTTCAGGCAATTGCTCTGATTAATTTAAGCAGCAGTAGGCTAAGAAATTTTGTGAAGATCACACAGTGGCAACCCCAGAAAAAAGACCTGCAAACAATGCTTTAAAATAAAGTAGCTGAAATTCCATCTCACTTATCCTTTTTCCTGGCCTCCAGTACTCCAATGAGTCCCATGAACTTAAGTGGGTTGGAGTTAAAGATTGGATGTTTCATAGTGTAAGGAAACAAAACCACATATGCTCTTAAAAAACACAGGAGGTCTTACTGCTTCGCTGTGGGAATGACAAGGTTTTTATATTTTTATATTTTCTATCAAACCTAATATTTTATTTGCAAAGACAGCGTAGCCAGATACCCAGGCAAAGTATGAGCAAAGCCCCCCCCCACCTCCCACCCCCCTTTTTCTTCTTCACAGTGTTTCTACAAAATACTTGCTACTTTCTGGGTTCAGGTAGGATTCAGTGGATAGATCAAGTGAGTGTGATGAGCCTCATGCAAATTTTCTCTTTCTGCTGGACTCTCAGTAGTGAACAGGAACATAACAAAGGGGGGGACTTAGCACAGTGCTTCCCTTTGGAGCCCCAGAAATACAGAGCAAAGGACACGACCTACTTCCTTCACACTTGAGTAAGATAACCTGAAGCCGCATTAGACTTGTAGAGATATGATGGATTTCATCCTTCTTGGCATTTTCTACTCTATGATTACCAAGGTTAAGAAAAAATACTTAGATGTATATATATGTGTATATATACATCCTGCAAGAACATTTTAAATTTTTAATCTTTTCTACATATCACAGTTTCATAAATGTGCATTTGTTTCATTTGAAAGAAAGAAATGAGAAATTTCAGTGCAGGGAACAGACAGTCAGCACTACATATGTTTTCCTGGTCTGTAAATAGAAGGGTTTTCTTTTTTTTGTTGTCATTTTCTTAGCTGCTGTAATGACTTTTGTGTCATGCTGCAGATGTAATACATTTGTGGATAAAGCAGGCTGTGCTCTTTGCCAGAAAGAGTGCATGGCTTTAAAAGGAGAGATCCTGAGGCGATAAAGTAACAGAGATGCCTTGTTTAGAACTACAGTATATCTGCAGCTTAATTTTTGTATACTATGATTGTTTCTACCAAGTGAATAAGCTAAACAACCTCATTTGTTTAAACAGTATTAAACACATCCTTTATATACATGCATTACTATAAAATTTTTTAAAACTTATAGAGGACAATCTTACAGTCTCTATAGTTGGTGTTGTTATGTTAATTAATAGCAGTAATAAAAGTAATTGTGATGTTATTTTAGGGAAGTATAATGGAGAAAAAAAATCTAGAAGAACTGCTTTTAAAGAAGTCACAACAGAAATAAAAAATAACCCAGATCAAGACCCTGAGATGAGCTGAGTTTGTTAGAACATGATGCTAATAATGCCAAGGTTGTGGGATCCAACCCTGTATGGGCCATTTACTTAAGAGCTGGACTGGATGATTCTTGTGAGTGCCTTCCAACACAGAATATTCTGCGATTCTGTGAAGTGATGTGGTCATTAAATTACAAGAAAGGGTTGTTTATTCTGTCAAAGACAAACATTTATTATGAACATGACAAAAGGGTAAGAAATAATTTTTTAAGTAAACTGTTTAAGATTGTCCAGTGCCACTCCAGTTTTCTTCTGTGAAACTTGATTGGATATTATGTATTAGAACAATATGCGTACTTTGTTTTGAGTAGAATTATAGGATATAAAATTCTAGTTTCAGTTCAAGAAAACACTTACCCACAGGCTTACGAGTGTTTATATTCAGAACAACCCTCACAGTTGTGCTTGCTATTGAGCATCTGTTTGCATCTTTCCAAAGAGAATTTAGGCAAGTAATTAACATTGACATATGTTTACACACTGTCTTGAATAGGGATGTTTTCCTCGTTGAGGCTTCGTTCTGAACTGATGTAAATAACTGGCATCAGAAGTTACTTGTATAAGGCATAATTAGTTCAGAATCTCATCCCTCAGCTGCACAAAGCAGATGGTTAGAGTATCCTCGTTTCCTAAGGAGTGACTGTATATCACAAAAGGGTAGCTTTTCAAAAGACCTCCTGTTGGGAATGCAAATATATGTTTCAGGCAACTTTAATTTTTTTCCCTCCTTTTCATACTTTAGGACTCATCCTGTCAGTTACATCCCATTCCTAAACTGCAGGGAAGCTCAGTGAGAATAAACTCCATTACCATAAAAAATTATGAATGTCACAGCCAGGCTTTTGGTTTGCACTTAAGGTGTTCTCCTCTTAACTCCTCCCTCTTTTCCTCTTAGTCCCCCCTTCTGCCCTGTACTCCTGCAGCTGCAGCAGATGCTTTCTCAGATGTAGGGCTGTGTTCTGTTATTTTTGTAGATGATTTAGAAAGGAATTTGTTCCATATACTAGATGCAAGTAGTGCACCAAGGAGGTTTTTACTACCTTTCTTTCAAAATTTAACAAGCCTGAATATACAGTTTGAAATATAAAACTGTACAAAATCATCAAACTAGAATATATTGTGTTAGCATTAGTTTACAGTCTGCTGTGTTTTTCTCTCTTAGAGAAAAGGAAGCAAGAGGGGATCAACTGGGACTGAGAAAATTCGATGTTTTGAGACACTGAATCTTGAGGAATCAACACCACCTCCTGCAAGACTTTTCTGGTTAACCATGAAATTTGTTTCATTTACATTTCTTGAGAAATATGTCAGTCATCCTAAGGTTACACTTTGTGTTCTTGTCGTAACCTAATGTTGCTGAGTGCTACTGATACTGATACTTTAAGGTTGGTCACAATGGTCTTAAAGGTCTTTTCCAACCTAAATGATTCTGTGATTCTGTGATATTTACAGCAAATACCAAACCAGTCCCTATTACTGAAGCTGTGATTTTGCTGGAATATTTTTAATTGACTGTGATGGAATTTTGATCAAGTCTTGTTTCTTTTACATTCAAAAATCTACGAGATATTTGGTTTAATATTATCTGGAATACATATGTATGATTATCACTTATTTTAAAGCATAATTAAGCATGTAAAATTCTTATTTTAATTCTCACTGTCTCATTCTACTTCTCTTTTTAGGCCACAACACCAAGAGCAGACTGTGCCCCATGACTGCCCGATTACCATTCAAATGTGCCACAGTCAGGAAATCCAAGGCTGTGCTTTAAATCAGAATTTGCAGCTGCACAAAGTACTATACTTGTTCAAGAATTAAATGCCGTGAGAAAAGCGCAACTTTAAATTTGCTCCCTTTCATCTCTTTCAGTTGTCCTGCTCAGATTCCTCCTAGAGCCTCCATCAATCCCAATTCTATGGGCAGTGGGACATGCAGATGTGAGAAGTGGCCAAAGATCTCCTCCTGGAGTGCCATGGACAAACCTTGCCACAGCAAGCAGCAGGCTGCTAGAGTGAGTAACAGCGTTGCTAAATAACGCATTAATTCATGACCCTGCAAGAATTGACTTGCCCAAGGGCAACCTCATGACAGGTATGTAACATTTATCGGCCTGGTGGATCTGAGGTGTCATTCCAATCTTCCTTTCCCTTCTCCCTCACCCTATGTTGTGTCACTGAATGACACAGGTATGTTAAATCAGTGTATTTATGTCAGGAGCACATAATTCAATTAAGTGGGGAAAAGTGTATGCTATAGTTTTAGGATGGGAGACTCACAAAACAGCATCTCTAAAAGAGCCTTTAGGATCATGATAGCTGAACACAAATTTCCACTGTGAAGCTGTGGCCAAAGGAGCTAATGGCATCCTTGGACATGGAAGAGGCACATACTGAGTAAAAGCACTCAACATGTTTTGACACTGCTGTGATCACCAGGAGAATATTGTGTCTAGTTCTGGTGACTATAATTGAAGAAAGATGTTGTAAGCTGAACAGAGGTCAAAGGAGAGACTTGACAATGACTAATAGATGGGTGGATAACATGTAAAGAGAAAAGCTCACAGGGCTCCATCATTTAACTAAATAAGGAGACAGGAAGCAAATTGATCAGATGTGTGTACTTACCAGTGAGAGTAAACATTTAATAACAAGAGCTCTTTGGGCTAACAAACAAAAGCAATTCGGAGTTCAGTGCAGATGACTGAAAAGAATGTACATAAGGGAAATTAAACCCTAACCTAACACAGCCACATACACAGAGTCAGCCCAGTACTAAACAAGATCTAAAAAGTAAAACAGATGTTAGTAATTATTAGGTAGGCATCAAAGAAAGATAGGAAGACAGCAAAGCATGCTGACTATTCATATTGGGTAGTTAAGCTGTAGGACTACTTACTGAAGGATGTTATAGATACTAATTATTTGTTTAAAAAGGCAACTGAATGAATTCACAGAAGAAATATACCTCTCAAAGGGCATTAGGTATAACTGCATCACCTTTGGATCAGGATTCTCTGATACTGTACAGCTGCCCTGAGCATATACTTTGCCTCAGTATTTGTTAGTGGATGCTGTCAGAGACAGGCTCCCGGACTTGGTGAGGAGTAACACAAGCTTGGTGTAAAACAAGCCAGAAGCTGGAGGATGAACATGGAAAAACTGTAGTGGAAAGAAAGAGTTTACATGTGGACTATAAGGTCTTTTGTACATAGATGATGGGAATATCCGGAAATATTTGATGCCATCCTTTGTTTCTGCAGCTTTTCTTTAGGACACTTTGGTTAAGAAAGTACATATTTATATTATTTATATTTATACTCACACCTGTCCATGTATGTGCTAAGCTTCTTTTAACATCATAGCTGCTATACAATGTAGCTTACAGTATAACTGGGGGAAATAATACACTAAATTCTATCTGCTGTATTTGATAAAAAAGTTAGTGATGTTTTTACCTACAAAATAAACTAGATGAAATTATTTTTGTCTTTATTCTTAAAGCTCTAGCTAAATTCTAGTCTTTCGTTGTAAGACCATTCTAGTGATTATGTCCCATAAGCTGAGTGGGTAGCAATAATAGAAATTCAGCACAAGAGAATATAGGATGAGTGTAAAACAATACAGTTTTACAAGCTAAGTCTTATATTAATATATTTTCTCTAAACAATGTTATTTCTTTTGCATAATTTATTATAACATGTTTTCCTGAAATATTTTCTGTAGAATTTAGTTGCAATTATTCCAGGATTTTAGTTTTTATCTGTAAAGACTGAGACAGGAAAATTTGTACAATAGTACCCTCCTAGGTGCAACTTTTTCAGAAGGGAATTCTCTCATATCTGTGTACATAGTTGACAGTGAAAGACCGTGTTCGGTAGAGGGAACAGTAGTTTATGAGTGTTTGGGCTTCAACCTTTCAAGGCTTGATTTTTTTAAAGCTTAGTCTTAGTAATTTACAGTCAAAAATTAAAAAGTATGAACCCAAAATTAAAAATTAATCCAAAAATGTAGATGTGAGCAACTAGGAACCTAATTTAGAATTGTGAGGCTGCCTGTATCAGGCATTTGTTTTGAAAATTGAAATTAATCATAAAGGCTTATCTACTACTGCCACAGGTTTCATCATTATGGAACACTTAATAATGTACAAAATTATCAACTGATTTGTAACACTAATTTGAACACCTTCATGTAGCTTCAAAAGCACTTGTCACAGCAGCAAAAGAGCCATGAAACCCCCAGCCAGTTGCAAGGACAAAGAAAATACCTTATTACCAGTCATGGATGGCTTAGTTGGGAGAAGACCTAAAAAGAGAATTTTTGTATATTGAACTCTTTGTTTATGTCAGATAACAACATGCATGATAATGTGCTGCATCTACTCTAAATTTGTTCCTAAATAAGTTCCTGATGTTGCTAACAGAGATGCATAGAGCACAGGGAGACTGTTTCTGTCGGGATGGATCCAAACAGCCTTGAACTTGTGACCACTGGGTAACTGAAAGAAGTATTTCTTAATAATTTCTTGATCTATAGACTAAAAGTGCCAATGAGAAAAACTTCAACAAAGTAGAAGCTGGCTGAACACAAGCCAGCAGTGTGCCCAGGTGGCCAAGAAGGCCAATGGCATCCCAGCCTGTATCAGCAATAGTGTGGCCAGCAGGACCAGGGAAGAGATTGTCCCCCTGTAGTGGGCATGGGTGAGGCTGCACCTCGAGTCCTGTGTCCAGTTCCAGGCCTCTTGATGCAGGAAGGACATTGAGGTGCTGGAGCGGGTCCAGAGAAGGGCAGTGGAGCTGGTGAAAGGTCTGGAGCACAAGTCTTATGAGGAGCAGCTGAGGGAGCTGGGGTTGTTTAGCCTGGAGAAAAGGAGGCTCAAGGGAGACCTCATTACTCTCTACAACCACCTGAAAGGAGCTTGTAGGCAAGAGGGGGTGAGTCTTCTCCCAGGTAACAAGTGACACAGTGAGAGGAAATTACCTCGAGTTGCACAAGGAGAGGTATAGAGATGCATGTTAGGAAAAATTTCTTCATGGAAACATTTGTCAAACTGTGGAACAGGATGCCCAGGGAAGCGATGGAGTCACCATCCCTGGAGCTATTTAAAAGGCATGTAGATGTGGTGCTTAGGAACATGGTTAATGGTGTACTTGGCAGTGCTGGGTTAGCAGTTGGATTTGATGATCTCAGAGGTCTTTTCCACCCTAAAATGTTCCATGATTCTAAATAAACTGGGAAAACCACAGAGCTAAATGCAACTGCAAATTTCCATGGATTATTTTTGCATAAATGAAAACAATATTGATGGGGTTTGTAAAGATATTGAGATGGTGCTTAAATTAAAACAAGATTGGAAAATATGTTGATACCTCAGTGAGGTGAAATGTCAGCTGTCATGGTGCTGTTGCTGCCACTGTATAAATCTGCAAGAGAGACAGCCTCAAGAGGTAAAGTATTACTTAAATTCCTACTTTTTTTCTTTAAGTCTTCCTCTCTTCTAGATGGGATTCTGTGTTGTACAACTGGGTCTGTGAAACCACTGCCTCCAGTCCTTCAAACTCTCTTTATGTCAGCCATTGTAGAAGTGTCTATAAAATTAGCTATCTAGTGTGTAGGAGGTCCCCATTCCAGGAGATCCTAGATCTTCCCTCCGCCACCCTCCTCAGTGAAAACAGTGCTTGAGAAAACATGGTAACTGACAATATGAACAGATACACCTGCTCTGCCTGGGTGAGAAATGGTGATGAACTGCATTTTTCTCAGGCAAGTCCCAAGTTGTGCTGCTCTGGGGTTGGGTCAAGAGGTCAGATATCTATTTAGGAATGTCAGTTTAGCCCAGCTGCCCAGAGGCAGCCTCTAAGGTAATGAATTGGAAAGTGTTTCTGAGCTCTTTATGTGCTCTTGCTTGTATCTTTATATCAGACAGAAAACCAAGAGTGTGGTGTCCCATCAGCACCCACTGGGCCTTACTGTCCATCTGAGAAAGGCAGGCTTTCACAGACCTAAAGAGACAAACAGGACATCAGGATGACAAAATGTACTACTTGTGCTCAATTCAACCTGAGTCCTCTAGCACAGCAGTTGCTTGATAAAGAAGGTCAAGAGTTGTCAGGGTTAAGAATAAAAGTAAACTGGAAGATCTGCTTCTATGTTTATTTGCTCATCTATCTCCTCCTGGACAAATGCAACATCTGACCTTAGTTTTACTGCCCAACTTAATGATTGGCATTTGTAGGTGGGAAGGAGGTAACAACAACAATGACAAGAGAAGCCACCAAAGTGGTGTGAGTTTTTATGATATTTTTATCTCTCAAAAAAAAAGGACTAGCAGTATGGTCTGACTGTGTATGCACACATCGTTACACAGCCTCTAACAAATTAAACCAAATTGTGTTTCAAATGATGAGATTTTTAAATCCATATTTACTGCTTTATTTTGTCTTCTGTTCTATATCTTTAGATCTGGATCTATTTCCTAGTTTCTCTCTGTTAATCAGAAAGTAACTTAAAAGAAAAAGAAAGAAAAACTTGAATTTTTTTTATGGAGTTAATATGAATAGCCACGGCTTTAAGAAACACATAGCTTGACAAGAGACAGAAGATACAAATCACAAGAGCTATGCAATGGAGCTTTAAGAAAAAATAATAATAAACCCTTGGAAAGAAGCTATGAACAAAGAAGACTTTGATTTTTTTTCTGATGTTCAGATTTGAAAGCAATAGCATTGTGAACGTGCAGCAGCATAACTTGTTTTGAATATCATGGTCTGTTATGCCTGAGTTCCATCAGGAGATGCTTTGTCTATATGGAGAGATCACCAGTCATGCAAATCTGCTGCTGAACTTTCTGGGTTCCGTTAAGCCTTTATGATTTCTTTTTATTATGTGCTTCAGTTCAGAGAAGATATTTTGAAGAGGAAATTTAAAAAGCAGGGCACAACAGTTTTCCGATGGGTACTTCTAAAAGAGGTTCAGTAAATGAAGATATAATTACCACATCTGGGTAGAACAACTTGACTTCATTTTCCCAAGCCATATGATACAATCAGGTTAAGAAGGCCAATACTGACTTCTCACAGTGAGGAACAGTCTATATTTAGTCACAGAACTGCTTCTATAAGCTCTCAGCACGTTTTTACTTTTCCTTTCATGTACTCATTTTGATCATCAGAGGTATCACCATGCCCCCAGCCTTCTTTCTGCCTACCTCAGTTCATGTCACTCACCTCTCCAGCCTCTGCAAGGCTTTCTCCCTTCTTGCTCCCAGCTGACTCGAGGTATTACTTTTACATGAGGCATTACCTTTGCACACTCATGTCCTGCACCTTTGATACCTCTTATTTCTTTCATCAGTTCACCATTATACCTCTAGTCTCCCACAGAGGAGCTGGTTCCTGAAGCGTGATGCCATTATAAGGAATATTGGGCACAAAAGGTCACTTCATGGGAAGCAGAGGGCACTTCCTCTTGGCTTTGATAACAGCAGGAAGCAGGAGCTTTCTGCCTGAGAAATACTTTCACCTCTGCTGGTGCCTGACATCCACTGTCTTTGCAGTGGAAAATGGTTCACATAGGTCAGACCAACACTGCAGTAGATCAGATGGAAGATCACTGAGTGCACACACATATTCTCTCGTTAGTATGTATTAGACAAGCTTTATGGGAGCTGAAGTGATTTAGCACATGCTTCCAGCCATATGATAGGGGTACAGTTTTGCAGATAGGAACTGTTCCTCATGTGCACATCACAGCTGAACCTCAGACCATCCCCTATGGCTCTCTTTAGATGATAGTGACACGATCATCACAAAAATACCACAAAAATACCACTGCCAGCATAATGGAAATAATAAGATCCACTCAGTTACTCTTAGGAAGTGTTCTGGGGCTTTCAGCCAGTGTTGGACATGGAAAGCTGTATGTATGGACACAAATCAGGATAATAATCTCCACCAGATTACAGATGAAGTCTGTCTAAAATATTGCAACAGTTAAATATACATCCAGCAGTGAAACACAAACCTGATGTGCTCATCTTGGACTGGTTATTTTCCCTGGCAGGTTGGACAAAGCAAAATTAATTTCCATGATAATAATTCATTTATTTTGGCCAGTGCTTTGCAGTTTCTTCTGTTCATCCAAAAAGGTGACAGCTCCATCAGAGGATGACACTCTGATCACTTCACACAAAAAAACCAGAAAAACAAAAAAAACCCAAAACAAACAAAAACTCAAACAAAACAAAATAAACAAAAACCAAACCAAACAAAAACAAAAACAAAACAAAAAAAAATTACAGGAAATGAAGGAGCAATTTAATCTCCAAAATTACCAAGACCAAATGTCAGAGGTACACACCAGCTCATAAGCATGATTGCTGCATATCAGTTTGCTCTAACATCACTAGATGCTCTAAAGAGAGAAGAGTTTAATCTCTGTACTATATTTTTTCCCCATCTTTCTGAAATCTGCAGGCAACTATAGTTCTGTCATTATTCCACAAAGCAAATGGATAGTCTAAAACTTGAATCCTGCCTAACTCAGGCCATCAAACTATAAGCTTCTCTCCACTAAAATCAGATACAGCCAATATAAACCACCAAAAAGTATAACAGAACTACTTCTCGTCAAATGAAGAGGACTCTTCTGTGACTGATACCTCTTTAAGGAATGGAGCTCAGATTGACATGTTTTGTGTGTGCAGAAGAGATCATATATGTCTTCTGGCTCAGTGGATTTAATAAGGTGGTTCTGTGTTTTCTTCTTGTTTAAATTAAGGAATGCCAATATATAGAAAACAAGTAAACACACAATGGCATGGTCACTTGGACTTGATTTAAAGGAATCATAGCCTGCTTCAGGACACTTGCCATTATTTACTGACATTGAATTACAGTGGTTTTCAGTAATACGTAAATAAATAGGTGGCATTTGCAGCCTTTTCTTATAAGTCATTCTTATTTTTCCTCATCCTTAGTTGTCAGTGTTTCAAGTGTATCTTTCTATCCTCTTAATTAAAGAATTGTGATGTCCAGATTTTCTCAGTTATGACATTCCCTGATTTCTAAACACATTTCAGTGCCTTAATTTTAGATACTCTTCTGTCCATGATCTGATTGTTGTCACCTAATTTTAATGCCAGGCTTCTCATCCAAGTAATTTTGCAGACATCCTCAACAACCCATGATGAGAGGTAGACACTCCTGTAGGATGACATATTTCACGTGAAGACACGGGTTAAAACTTGGTAAGATGAATCCCATGGTTGCATACCTACACGTGTTCAGCTCTCCACAGGGAAAGTGAGGCACCAAGGAGTGAGATTACATATATCCAACATGCTTAGCTGAGAAACATCAAAAAAGTATGTTAGGAAAAAGGAATAATTTAGAATTAGCATAGCTTTTATTTTGCTTTCAGTGGTTAGTAGTAACAGTTGACTAATGTTTGTTGTGCTTGATGGTAACGTTACTATTGATCAAAAACCATTAAAAAGAACCTCAAAGTTATTTTTAAAATACTGTGATGGGATCTTTTGATACAACAGGACATTAGTTACAGTAAAAAACAACTTGGTCAAGTGGTGTCCAAAGCACAGGAATTGCAACTGTTCATTAAGTAGTATCAGCTTCAGAGAGGTGTCAGGATTTTGATACAAGTCAGGTCTATCATGTAATTCTGGTAATGAGGGCTTCCTATTACAGCAGTGTCAGCCTCCACTCAGAGTTAATTGCTGCTGGTGTCATTATCACAGAACTTGGCTCTTTTCTCACCTGTCTCTCAAATGTGGACAACAGTGTCTAGGCTGTCCTTTTAAATGGATGAGAAAAAACTGCCTGTCTGTGCCTTGAGCTTCTGAGCTTTGATTAATTTGCCTAATATCATTATAAATGTTCAAGATATAACTGATTACATAAATGCCATGTGTTATTTCTTACTGTAGCCTGTTCTACATCTCCTTATCATTTATTTCCTCTGTCTTCAAAAACGGAAGCGTGGAAGCCTGCCCCAGAGACTATCACCAGAGAAGTCAGTCCTGAATTTGGCTGTGGCCCAAGGCAACTACAAACCTGAAGGTAATTCAGCTATCCAGCTTGTCAGAAGCAATAAATATTGTGTATCACAAGAAAAATATTCTGACTGGTGGAAAATAATGGATTGGGAAGGGTAAGTATGCCCTGCAGAATGCTTTTGTTCCATGATCATGGTCTTCCACGTATCTCATCTTTGAAGACAAGACTGCAGGCAGTCCTGGCGTCTTTCAGGATCTATGTTAGAATTACCTTGGTAACTTTTAAACATTACTCTAAAAGCCTCGTTGTCTCTGTACAACTCCATTTTCATTACCATCCTTGGCTGGCAGGTTGAATAAAATTTACAGCAGTCACTGTCTAGTATAATAGCTAAGATAGTATTCAGTGGCCTTAATTTTTGTATGTGCCTGAAGAAGGGCTTGTGTACACAGAAGCTATCCATTTTTTTTCAGTATTTAGTTTAAGTGACAAAAAGATAAAATCTCTCCTAACAAATGTTGTCTCTCGTGTATGCACAAACCTTCTTTAGACCACCACCATCACAGTTGCAATAGCAGTGACACCGTGGGAGACCAGTGTGAAGTGCTGCACTGCAAATCCCTTATCACTTCAGTCTCTCCTCAGCTTTAGTAATACTTTTGCACAAAGACAGGGCAGCCCCATCCTGCATAGGGTTTAATTATTCTTTTTGACTTTTACAAGCAGAGAAATCTTCTTAAGCAACCGAAGATATTTTTCATTAATATCCAGCTGGAGCAGAAAAAAAGCACCTCTTCCCAAGTCATTAAATGAGAAATGGTTTTAGGAGGTACTGGAGGTGAAGGCAGTGCAACAAACAGGAGTTGTCTGGAAGAGATAAGATTCCTTGTCTGTCTCATGATTAATACTAGATGAGTTTGATTTTATGTACTTGATAGAAGTGTGGAAGGGAAGAATTTTTGAGATAGGGATGCCCAAATTACTTTGGAACAGACTGAAATTACTTATCTACTGTTACAACTGTAAGAAAATCAACAAATAAAGCAACCTTAACTTGACGTAAAGTGTTTGCAATTTATAACTAAGGAGATCACACACTGTTCTGGGTGAAGAAAGCAGCACACAACCCCAGCAACTTGAAGAAAATAGTAAATTGGTAAGCTGAGATATGGACCTGAATGCCCTCACTTATGATTATGTAAAAACATACAATACAGGCAGCTCTTCTTATAGAGCCTGAGCAGAGGGCTCTATCATGAATAAAAAAGCAGAGGGAATCTAGAAAAAGGAGGGTCATTTACGGGTTTTTCCCTTTGGGTTGAGAAACTGAGACTTTTGCAGTATTGCTTCTGTAAGGAGAAGTTACCTATCCATCTTAACGAAAGCTTTAAATTCTGCTTGAAAAAAAGAACGAAGATCTTCCTTTCTTGAACGTAACAGGAACAAATATCAGGAGTCATGTTTCTCCTGTTTTAATGCACTCTCAGTTTTCTTCTTCTGCTACTGAGATCTATGTTAAAGATTCCTTTCTTTGTCCATCCGTACTCAAATATACAATTTATTTCTCTCATTTATTTTTCTGATAGGCACAACATACAGCCCACCACCTTACAACTACAGATGTCTGTTGGCCCCCATAACTTAATCCATCATGCCATGCTGCCAACTGCTGTAAGTGGTAGCTCAACTGTCCGTGTTCACTTAGTTTAGCTTCTCAGTTTCATCTGGCATTGTGTCAGGAAGAGTGCTGAGCTTGCCTATTGACTCTGTGTTCGATCTTGGACAGTTTGCTGGCATCCATTATTCTCTGGCATCCTTCATCACAGCGACTGAGACGGAATGTAATGATATTGTTGAACAGCTGCTCCAGCCTTCCATAACATGAAACCAACCGCAGAGGAAGAAACCATTTCAATGACTAGCAGAAAGAGTACTCCACTGAAATGTAATTTTCTCAAACAAATTGCTTCTGTGTTTTTCTGCGTGGTAAGTAAAAGCAGGAATGTTTTAACCATGAGCATTTCTGTTAGTGGCATTCTGAAAAGTGACTTTCTGTTTAATCCCTTTTCCTAAGTGACCAAATTTAAGATGCAGTCATGTACAATAGCTAAACTGTGAACTATTTGTTGTGTGGGAATAAAGGATTTGTATTGAGCACTTACTTGAGAAAGCTGTTTCTGAATGATGATAAGCCCAGGTTAATCAATACGCAGCCATTCACTGCTTAAATGTTTTCCACACTAGCCTAGCAAAGATTAGGCAGTTTTTCTGGATTATTTTTCTTTTTCAATAACATTCTGAGTACTAAGCATAAGGTTTCCTGAAATGTATAAGATCAGATACAATTTGTCTTCTTGTCTCATACATTCATGTGAAAAACATACTGGTTTCATTTAAATCAAGTCAAGGGTTTTGTCACTGACTTCACTGATGCTGGTATTTCAATTTTTTTACTCTTATTTCAGCATTAAATCACCCTTCCTAGCACTCCTGGGCCTTTGTATGTCTGTGAGTAGTCTGGTACAGGATAAAGGGAGTCCAGGTCTGTCAAAGTGAGACATCAGATATATATTTCCCTTTTTAGTAAGATGATGTGACATTGTAAGCATTAAATGTATGCCAAGCTATTTGAATGAAAAATTCACAGAAATATAACATATTGTCTCATAATAAACCATACTGAACAAGATTCAGAGATTTCCTTAAAAAATCTCTACTTTTATAGTATTCTGTGAAAGGAACCATAAATAAGAATCATCATTATTTCTGTACAAGAGGTTATTTTAGAGGTTTCTTTTTCTGCCATATGGACTCCTGTTGTCTCTCATGCTAAGAACATTTATTTGTAAAGTCTAGGGTTGTGCAGTTTTGGAAAGTTTCCATGTACATTTTGAAAATGTAGATGCAATCTCTACATAAGGTCACTAAAGGCATATGTAGTTTCATTGCCTGTTACAGCATGCACAGAGAATATTTGGCTTTCTAACACATTGCACAGTGGAGGAGAAAGATTGTTTAAGTATTTACCAAGTGATTAAAAAATCCAGACAACTACATATGTCTCACATTTTTTAAATACTCATCTTAGACCACAGCATAGTTACTCAAAAAATACACGTAGCATGACTTTTAACCCAAGGAAGGAATCTGTCATAGAATCATCAAATCTTATAATGGTTTGTGTTGGATGGGACCTTAAAGATCATTTAGTCCCTGCCGTGGGCAGGGACGTTTTTCACTAGATCAGGTTGCTCAAAGCCCCATCTAACATGACTGAATACTTCCAGGGATGGGGGATCCAAAACTTCTCTGCGCAACCTGTTCCAGTGTCTCACCAACCTCCCCATGAAAAATATCTTCCTTGTGTCCAGTCAAAATCTACCAACTTTCAGTTTAAAACCATTACTCCTTGTCCTATTACAATAGGCCTTGTACAAAGTATGTCTCCATCTGTCTCATAAGCCCCTTAAGTATTGAAAGGCCACTGGGTTTTCACAGTTTTATCATATTGTTTTGTCTTTGCAGGGAAAACTCCAGTGTCAGCAAACAGACATTGGCAGAAGAGCAGAGTATTGCCAAGCGTAAGTGAGCGTGTAGAACAGGTCTTCTTGAGAACCAAAAGATTCTTTGGGCAGAGATTGTCTTTCCACCCTACATGTCCACTGTACCTGCAGCAATGGTATCCTACATATGGCCGTCATAATAATTAAAATAAATATAGGTATTTTCATCAGCAATATCACCTCCCACAGACTTCTGAAGGTATAAATATATTTACTTTCAGAGAAAAAAAAAGTCATTTAGACAAATCAGTCTCCTGTATGCTAAAGTAATGCTTCATAAAAGGGAACTCTATTGAAACAGACTTCATTGGTACTCCCTGAACTGATCTGATAGAGCATGTTTGGCTTGTTTCATCCATCAGGGAACTCTCAGTTTACTTAAATATTATGAAAACAGAAGGTTCAAATTTAGAGGAGAATTATGTACCTCCCAGCTTTTGGGCAGACAACTACATCATGGTCTGCATGAAACAGAGCAGCTGTCTCCTTTGAGAACACACGCAGGATCACCCTCGAGGAAAAAAGGCAACGCAGAAAGAACCGTATATTGCAGAATACACCATCTAAGGAGTCTTTCTGCTGTGCCTTTTGTAATCGGATATGTCTGTCTCGTATTGGCCTCATAAGCCACCAGCGTGCCTGTAACAAATGTGGATAGAGCCTTCCCAAATCTTCGTTCATGAAGCCCAGCCATGATGATGATGACTTCTGATAGAGCTCCTGGCAGAACTTTAGGCAGTGGGATCCTCCTCTAAGGAGTTATTGTAAAAAGTCAGTGTTACAGAGTAGACCCAGCTATTTTGGGGCAACGAGAGCCACTGGACGAGAAAAAGCAGATGGGAACTAGTGGTTTCCCTGTTATCTCATGGCCCATAATTACATATACAGGACAGGCCCAAGTCTATCCTCTGACTTTAAAAAGTAGTTTTTACATATGTCTGCTGAATCTTATTCAGAAACCAGCCTGTGAATAACAAACCCAATCTCTCTCTTTATAGTTGGTATGCTGATATCTCCTGTGCCCAGTCTGAGTAGCTGCTCTGTCTGAAAGTCATACACATCCTTTATTGTTTGTATATCAACAACCACAGAAATGTTTCTGTGTCTGTTGTCTTTGCTATACAGTGTAGCTAGAGGATGCTGATGTTCTTCAAATAGCTGTAGTATTATAAAGTGCTAGAAATCCTTGTCCTAACTTGGTATGGATAAACAGATTTCAAAGAATGCCTCTTCCACATAAATGAGCAAACGACTCACCTCTAAAATAGGCTTGGAACAAAGCCACACTGAGTGCATTTCCCCTCAAAGCTCTATTTTTCCCTTTTGTTAGTCCTGTGTTGTTTGCTCCAGTGTGGCTTTTTCTGCAGGTGAGTGTAGAGGAATCCTCAGTGGTGGTTTTACAGCTCACCCAGACAGGAACACAACCCTGAGCAAACTCAGTGTTATGCTCACTGAGTCTTGACTGGATGCAGCTGACTAGGAGCCAGGATGGATAGCACCATAGTCAGGGGTACAAGCAGATGACTGCGGAAATACTTGTCCATATACTTTCCTGGAGGAGACACAGCCTCACACATTTTTTTCCTCTTGGATGTGCTGTGTAAACATTTTCCTCTTGTGGCTTGCTACTTTCTCACACTCAGTGTTATCGGTACCCAGCCTCTAACAACTTTGATGGAACATGATCCTTTGGGAGCCTTGACTCAGTGTCCTTTCCCCTGGACCTGCACCATAGGTTCAGGAATGGAACTCAGGTGTGGATGAACTCTGGAGAAAGGCAGTTGTGTTTCAGTCCCCAAGTGTGCTGGATAACACTTAGTCCAGTTAACTTAGGGGACATGAAATTTCCTTCAAACTTCACAGCAGTGAACCTCTAGATGTCTTTTTTTACTCCCTGCAATATAGAGGTGTAGCTGTTTAATGTACTCTGAAAGTCAGAATTTCCAGCCCGGGATGGTAATAATTAACAGAAGTAAAACTAGAGAGTAAAAGTTAAAACTAGAGTACCACATAGACTAAAAATAGTGCAACTATAATAGAGTGCAGTGAAAATCTTTTTATTTGCTCAGTAATGCAGAAATACTTTGGCAGTAAAAAATATATCAGTCTAATTCTTCATGTAAAGGAACTGAGTGTGGTGGGTAGAACTCTTTTTCAGATAGGATATGTGTGTGTCAGTGTTAGGGTCTTACGACACATAGAGCCTCTGGAAGGGACATGAGGAAGGAGATGGGGTTAACAACTCTCAATGTCCCCAGTTATAAATCTGCACCAAAACAGAATTGCAGATGACTGGCTTCATGTCTGGGCTGGAGTAGAACTCACCTAATTTTAAATATTTATAGTGGGATACCACAACCTGTTACCTAAACCCTCTTTTTACTGGAAAGAAAGATTTCTCATGCATTATTCATCTTGTTCTAATGAAGTCCTTAAAGGAGTTCAGATGAGTCATGTCTCCTTTCTGGACATTACAGTGTAAAAGGCTAAAGTTCACTGAAATTAATCCCAACCTTGTTGCTTCTTGGAAATTATTCATTCTTTTTTTAATTTTTTTTTTTTTATTTAACTGGGGAAAAGAAGGTGCTTTTATTGTTTGAAGCTTAGCCAAATGGATTACAAAGCAGGAATGTGTATTACGTCTGTATTCAGCAAGGTTCCTGAGTGAATATCCCAAGAAAGTGTAACATTTCTATGAGCATGCTATGGACATGCTGCTTGCTGTGACAGGTCAACAACCATCTCTACATTGTGTTAAAAAATGAACCTTGGGCACATTCAGCTCATATTGGTTCTTTGAATTCATAGATGACAGTGGCTCCCTGAATGGGGGAACAGAGGTCCAGAATCTTCTCATCTGAACAATGCCATGTAACAGGCACATAATCCAGGGGAACAGCAGAGATTCAAGTGTGAGAGAGAAGGAAGAGAATGGAAAAGGGAATGGAAGAGGGAATGGGAAGGAGTAGGGGAAGGGAAGATGTTCCAAATTGGATGTAAGAACTATTGCAGGGGCAGAATATGAAAGTCTTTTGCTTAAGATGTAACTGTTGGGAGACAAGTCCTAACCATCAGACTACATTAAAGTGTATCACAGAAGTCTCCAATGGGTTGAACCTGTACTGCATAGTCAGGGGTGGGTAAGGAGAGGAAAGTAGGCTGAGGCAAATGTAACAATTTTCCTGGAGACATCTACTACATATTTTGTTATTTGGCCAGTTGAAGTGTTGCAGTTCATGACAACTAATCTATTAACACTTGGACTGGAAGGCACTTTGCAAGGTCTTGACATATACTGCATATTGTGATGTTTTTAATAAGTAAAAAAGGAACAGTCAAATATTACATGTGTATAAAACCCCTGAGCACAAGTATTACCTTGCTGAAAATTATTGTTTTGAATCAATTCCCAAACTTATACACTACCATCAGCACAACTTCACCAGTTATCCTATGTACTCTTTCTACTTGATTGGTTTTGGCTTAGGCATCTGGTCTTCTCAGCATGATGGTGAATCTCTTCCAATACTGAACGTTCCAAATACTGAGCCATCTTTTGGGAGACTTTGGGTGTAACTTGATCTAACATATTCACAATCAATGTAGTTGCTTAACTTTGCTGTACAATGGTTTTTTGGTATTGAACTACCCCATCTTGCAATACGTCTGCTGAAACAGCCCTTAAGCACAGAAAATTTTCAATCTGGTGTCACGATGCAGCAGCTGCTGAATATTGAATATTGACTCTCTGTCATTACCTGGATGGTTGTAATATGGTAGGGAGAGGGAGGTATTTGTTTCCCTTTATTTTCTTTTATTTCGGAAAACCCATGTATATACTGTGACCTTTAACAGTTTTTCTTTATAAATATGTGACAAGGTTCCAGCATGCAGTATCTACAAAAGTAAATAAGGTCTCAACCACAGCTTCATCAGGAAATTGTATGAAGATAATTTTCCTTTTGAAACTGGTGTCTTGGCCGCCAAGAAAAGAATAACCAGAGAACAATGACCCTCACTGCTTTCAGTCTTGCAGTTACAGTCAGGAGGTTACAGAATCTTTGTTTGGTGGCCATTTCTGCTTGTCCATGCAAGAGGCAATGGGAGAATTTGGTGAAATTGGTCTTTCAGTCAATAGTTCCTTCTGTAATTTTCTCTTGCAGAGTGTAGCATTGAGATTTTATGGTTCTATGAAATAGTGTATCCCTTCCTACAAGTGCATTTTGTCCACATTCAGGGCATTTTGTACAAAGGCATTTTGTAGCAACTTTTATGTTGTGCCCTTTTTAAGGCATTTTATGCCACGTCTTATATCAACTGTGCAAGTCCTTGCAAGGTTCCTTCCCCAGCCCATCTGAGCCATGGCCATTCTTTCCCTTTGCCACATCACCTGGCACGGTAATATTTGTTCTCCGATATCCTGTATGAAAACACATTGTGATTTCATGCATAAATCTTGTTCAAATCTATAGATGTAAGGCTTAAATTTAAGCAGTAGCAAACAACACTCATAGGAAGTTTCCATAACTCAAACACAAAGCTGAGAGACAGGTATGTTACTCCAGTGCTGCAACTCTCCAGAGAAAACAGCACTGCCTGGGAGGGATACTGCACCTGCATTTGTCCACTGTTTGTTGTTTTTTCACTAAAGGAATTTTTTTTTCCCACTAGGCATTTGGGAGTTGAAATGAGAAAAAAATGTCCTGTTGAGAGAGCTAGAGAGTGCTCAGTTTGGAGTGGTGCTTCAGGGAAAGTGGAAGGAAAAATATGAAGTGGCTATAAGGAGGATTAAAGAGGGAGCAGAAGATGAACTCATAGAAGCTCAGGCCATGATGTAAGCTATGGCATTGTTTAATTATTTGGAAATAATGATCTCTCCAAACATTAATCAGTAATGTATAACACACACAGGAAAGAATTCTTCTTATAAATAGCATTAAGTAATGGTGAGTACATTAGAAACAGGCTAAAAGGAGTCACAAAAGATATTTGAAGTATTATCAAAGGAACATTCAAAGATTGATAGGGTCATCTACAAAGTTTTCAATTAACATCTCTTCCATAATTTCAGAGCTTTCACATATGCCACGTAAAACTATGCTTCATTAGCATTTATACATAAACAGTTAGAAAGCTGTTCCTGCAATCCCACAGGCAGGAATGAGATCCCACAGGTAGGAATGAGAGACCGACAAATAACCAGGAAACACCAGAAACAAAAACATGGGACTTGAAGTTTCAGTCTCTGACTCCAAAGAGTTAAAGATGTTAGAAATTCCAATGAAGTCTCACAAGATGATAGTTGAAGCATATGAATTCAAGAATATTTTGGATATCCTGTATCCTGAAAGAAGGCACTACATTCCTGACAATTAAGTAGTTGATAGGATCTGTATTCTGAATGTGAAAATTTTGTAAGGCCACACTTTTATGCTGCTAAATCCTATTTCAGGTTTTGGCTACAATACTGTCTTTTCATCAACACTTTTGTTTGTCATCAATACCAAGTTTCAAAATAATAAGAAGAAGGACACTTAGTCCTTCTTGAAATGGAGTATTTGAAGGCTGAGCTGGGACTGTATCCAGTTTCAATAATTTCTTTCAATACATTATATTGATATTTGAAGAACAAAACTTAGAGAAATGTACAGTAATATCTATTTATTAATTGATTTTTTCTTTATTTCAGGAAAATTAATAATCCCAAACACTTTAGACTGTACAATGTATGCTCAAAATTATATCCTGCCTATTTAGTGACTGACTATTTGATCAACCACCTAAGGAGTCATGGAAAGGAACCCTTCCTACCCTTTAGCTTTTTTGAAAGTATGTTATGATGTTTGTGATGCTATGGCATTTCTGGAGATCTGTCAGTTCATACATGGAGACTTGGTAATCTATCCCACAGGAGAAGCGGAACAGGGAAGGCAGGGGCATGACCCGACATTAGTCAGTTCTACGCCTCAGTATCAGCCACAGATGCACTGGCTCTGTTGGCACTCACCCCAAAAAGCATTGTGGTGTGCTGAACAGAGACACAAAGCTGGCTCAATACAAGGCAGCTCTGGAGAAGCAGCACTAAAGTCACATGTAAACAGCACTGCCCATGTGGGTCCCTTCCAACTCAGGCTATCATATACTCTAATGTGCTCTGCTTCAGGGCAGAGCTGACAGGTTCTAGAGCGCTGCATACTGTGCTGCCTGCATTTATGGGCTCTGGGCTCAAGGATTAATGTGTACACAGCACAGACATCCAACTGGAAAATTTGCCCACTGAAATAAAGGGTTCCGTCCAGTGATGCTGTAGTCCTCCAGGAGAAAGAAATGCAATGTTAAAGATTTGGGTCACTTACATTGTTTCTAACGAGTTAGGGATTTATCTAATTGGGAACTATTTCTGCTAGAATAAAACGAGTGTGAACACTACTAGGATAAACTGGAATTTGGTGCATTATAAGCAGGAACAGAATTTGAAAGTCTGCAACTGCCCAGCTCTTTAAAATACATTTATCTGCCAGTTTTCAAGCAAGTATTTCAAGTTGCATTTGATTAGGGGATCAGTCCTTTCATGGACTTGTACCTAAAGTTTATGCAAAACTTACCTTTCAAGAATGCTGCCATTCTTTGGGGAAATAAGCTGGTTTTTTATTGGCCTATTAACAGTGAACCTAACTAAATTTCTGGTGCATTGTGCTTCAGAGTCAGTAGCAATATTTTGCCTTCTAACTCTAGATAAAAATATGTTGGTAGATTTTTGACTATTTATGTTACAGACTTGTTTCATTTTCCAATGGGGAAATGGAAGTTTAGTTGCATTTTAACTGTCTTGTTGATGCTTTCAAAGAATTGTCTTTGTTTGTAAACACAGTTGTTAAATCCATACCTCACCAATTTTCACAGCTCAATTCAGAAACCAGGAATATCAGACAACTTAAGTAGCAGAATTCAAGTTTTAAATATAAAGTCAGTTTCCTGAAAACATGGGAAACCATGGGAAAACAGATATAAAACTGGAGCTTGATTTCAGACTGAAAACTGTAGATACAAACAGTATCACAGAAGTTAACGAGCATGCATGCAGAGAATACAGCCTTAGATAAATGTTCTCAAGTGATCATTTACACAACTAGGCTTCTATTGAACTTTTCATAAATCAAGCTGTTACAGTCCCCTTTCATTGCTCCACTCTGGTTTTAGTGCATTGCAAATAATCCAATCAATATTTTCCACTTTTTGATGCCTTGGTAAATTCTGAGATGACTGAAAAGGGCCCAGGTTAGGAAGCCGTTTGAAAGACAGAGTTTAGTTCCTGGCTCTGTTGCTGTTTTTCTAGGTGAATGTGGATTTCTCACTTGTTTCCTCATCCCTCAAAGTCCTTATTTGTAAAGCTGGGATAATGGTACAGAATGTTTTTCAATCAATAGTCAAGAAGTGAAACAAGAGAGCCACTTACTGTTCCCTTACCGTTTCAAACTTAATTGTGTCAATCAAAGATGTCATTACTCACTGAAATGCTAGAGGGCAGACATTATTAGCAAACACCAAATACCTGATGTTATTTGCTCCTCTTTAGGTTCTTTCCATTCATCTCTTCTCATTTCTCCAATAAAGGCTGCTAGGAACTGTTTGGTTGACAGCAAAATTACTGTGAAAGTATCTGACTTCAAGACGACTCAGTAAGTGAGAGAACTGGGAGCCTGGTGAAGCTCTGATGTTGGTTTACTGGCACTGATCAGCTGGCTGATAGGAAAGTTAAGCCAAAGAGTGTGATACAGCTCTTTGTGTCTCCTTTCCATTAATGACTGTAAGACATTTTAGAAGAACAATAGGGTCACTCTGCTGTGTCAAAAAGTTAAGTTTTAAAGGCAAATCGCAGCTGAGAGGTTTCACTAGTCATGTTTGTAAAGAAATCTCAAAGTTTATTTTGTGTATGAGGCTTTCACCTAATTTGGGGACCAAATAGCTTAATCAGATTAAGTGATTAATAGCTGCCTCAATGGCAAGGGTGAGCAGCCTACAGAGCATGTCCTCTGAGGGGAACAAGCTGCTTAGCCTGGAGAAGAGGAAGATAAGAGGGTATCTAAAAGCTGCCTGTAACTACTTACAGTTACAAAGCCAATGGAGCCAAATAAGTCTTATCTGTGCCAGGTGATATAACAGCAGATATAGGCCACAGGCTGCAGCTCAGGAACTTCAAGCTGGATAGTAAGAGAAGTTGTTTTTCCAGGAAAGTGATGGAACAGTGAAATGTGCTGGCCAGGGAGACTACAAGATAGTAATCTTTGGAGGCTTTTAAGACTTAGCAACAGGGAGTCATGGCTGACCTGCTCTCATGCTATTTGAGCAGGAGGCCAGGAGGCCAGGCTAGATGGCCTGACAACAGGTGTTTCTATGATTCTGAGTTATTTCTCTAGTAAGTTGGTAGCAATGATCTGGTCTAGATTATAGCTAATGCCTCTATGAGGTATTCTTTGGAAATTTAAGATTCTCCCTAGGCTTTTCTTAGGAACGTTGTGATGTACAAGAAAGAAGCAGTAAAGTTTTTCACTGTAACTCAATCACAACCAAGTTTGGTTCTTGTCTTGTGGATATGTTCTGGATGATCTGCATATAAGTTCTCTAGGAACCAAGTTTCCAGTGAAGTGGTCAGCATCCAAAGTTTTCCATTACATGAAGTCAGATGTATGGGCCTTTGGTATGTATGGAATTTGACACATGAATTTGTATGTATATATGGCATTACATTTGGATTTCATCAGCTTATTAAGCAGAAATTCTAGACATTTAACACACCGAAAGATTGTAAAAAGCAGTTGCAGCTTGTGTTCTTGTTTAATATTTTTTAGCTCTTAGATTTTTCTTTATGGCAAATAGAAACTCTGCCCACTCCCCATTTGCTACATATGTGTTTAAAATAGTAAAGTAAATTTTGGCAGTGGAGATCAAGTGTAATCTTTGGTGTCTTTTAGACCATAAATCAGTGCCGCCCAAGTCAAAAGGTCTTTTCTGTTTGTCCCAGAGGTCAGAGTGGACTCTGTACATAAGCCGTCTGTGGGAGACAGTCTGTGTGAGCTGGGACTCTGTATCTCAGCAAAAAGTATATCTGTTTGCAGATCACTTTCTAGCCAGGAATTTTGAACATTTGAACTTCTACTTCAGTGGTTTCAAGCTATGATTTACAAATCCCTGGGGTCTGTTCAGTGTTTCTTAAAGTCTGCAGAAGGTGTCAAAGGAAAGGGAACCTTTTGTGAACAGGCTTGAATTCCACTTATCTGGGTCTGCTCCTCCAGCAGGAAAATTTTGGCAGCTGTCAAGTTGATGAAAGATTGGCAACCCACTGTTCTTGACATTGAACAATGGTGAATAAAGCAGATAGAAGTGTTTCCAAATGCTGGGCTGCTTCTTATCTTTAACCTCAGCTAGTCTCCCAGTATTAATGACTCTGGCAGAGAAAGAGTTCCTTCATGCCCTTTACAAGTTGTTTATACATTTATACAATTATATCAGAAGTTGGATTTTCTGGTGATAATGTTTTCTTTTTGCTCTTATCGATTAAATTCTGGCCCCAGGCTTTACTGTCATTAACTTCAATATTGGCGTTAACTTCAATGAGAAATGTTATTTTTCCATAGAAGATTTTTTTCTTATTTTAACACTATCCATTGATGAGTGGAAGCAAGGGGAGAGTGGGATCTGTCAGTTCTTGTTTGGTTGTTATTAATTAATCAGTCTTTAAAAAGTGAACTGATGTATTCATATCCCAAAAGCAGATGTCAAAGAAGAAAGAATCTTGGGGGTTTTAATGTTCTCATCAAGGAAAGCTGGGATTCAGGTTCCATTTTATTCTTATCTCACTGTGACACTACAATACTCCAGTCTTCAAGCTGGAGGGAAGTCAAAGATCCCAAAAATTTCTAAGAAAAAAAAATGCAGCTAGTATTATATATCATTTTAAAATAAATATTTCACCGTTTGTTTTTTACTTTAGGGTAGGCATGAGTCTCACATATGTTCAGTTACAACCAAAATTGTTTCTTGAAAAGCTTTAATTATGAATTGATGATTATGGTACTATCCAGTGTTTCTATTGCTTCTGTATAACCAGTTTTTAAAGGTATGTGCAGCTGACACTTTAAAGTATTTGGAAAACTTTCTGATGCCAAAGGGATATGTCCCACTCAGAAAACACAGTAAACTTTTTCTTATTATTTTATAAAACAATGGATAGCTATAGTTGTCATTTTGTTTTTCCTTCCCTCTCTGTGCGCACGCAGGCATATATAAGAAGATGTTTACACATATTCTGTAAAAAATTCAGTCCATCATTGTCCACATTAAATATATTTTATAGCTAACTTTATAACCTAGTGTCATCTTCCCCTGCAGTAGGAGTTGTTTTACATTTGTGTATAGAATCACACTTTTCAGTTACCTCGATACTTTTCTTTGGACAATATTCTCTGAGTCTGATCAGTTGTATCTTGCATGTGTATCTTGTTCTGTGAAAAGGGACTTACCTTGCATTTCTTGACTTTCATTTCATGTCTTAATGTGGGAGGTGTTCACTTTGGGAAAGCAGCCCTATGAGCTTTAATATAGAATGCCAGTGATTGAGAAAGTTTCTCATGGATACAGATTTTATAGACCACAACAGGTTTCAAACACCATCTACTAGATAATGGACAACTGCTGGAATGAGGTATGTATATCTGCTCATACAAACTGGAGAAAACAAAATAATAGGAACCACTAGGAGTCCCTGCTGACAGCTGAACTGAATTTCACAGGGAAAAATATCCTTTATAAAAGCCACTGCTTGTATGTAGAACATTCTATATCGTATCTAGCTCAGGAAATTGTCAATACAGGAAACAGGTCATAAAGGAAGATTGACTTCATTTCAGAAGCGTGTATTTAATCATAATACCCTTCAACATCAACAAAATAAACATGATGAGATTCTTCTCACATAATTTTAATGGATTAAAAACTGTGACTGAGCTAAACTAACTGTCCAGATTTCTTCCATGATTACAGGACCATTACTGGTACATCTCCATGGTCATTTGTCCTTTCTCTCTTAGCCACCACAGAATAAAAGATATGTGCTTTCCTATACAGAGATCTTAAACAGCAGATGTAGAAGAGACCTAAAATAACTCTACCCTTAGAAGGAGAAGAAATGTGTTACCCCACCCATGAGTCTAGGAGCTGTGAGTCAAATGCTGATCATGCTCATTTTATTTTGAGAGATCTGCATCTTTTGTGCCAAAAATGATCCTGATTTATTGTTCCTCTTCATGTAAATTTTAATCACCTGTCTGTAGACCATGACTTGTTTCTCACCAGCAACAAAGAACTGTTTTACACATTATTGATGATACCATGAAATGACCATGATGTTTTATTGGGTTTTTTAATATAATTGTCAGGAAAATGAGAAAAGTGACTTATATTTGAGGGCATGTTAGTGCAAGTAAAGCAGATTAAATTATCACAACATAAGATATATATAAAAAGTAACTTTAATTTTATTTTAGCATGCAGAAATTCATAGCAACATCACTGTCTACAAATTTTTGCATGCTAAAATCAAGAGAAACCAATGCAAATTACAGTACTTGAATTATTTTAAAATGAAACAACTATATCCATCATCTTAGCTTCATTTAACTACCAGAAAAGCGCCCTGCCTTTTATCAGCTCTTACCATTTTTTGAGGCGTTGAGAGAAGGCAACAGAGGTTGAAAAAGAAGATTCAGAAACAGATGACTCTGCATACTGGTTCCATATCACCTACCTTCTGTACGAGAGCTACATCTGAAATCTGCCTGACATTAGCCATGCCTATTATGCTATATATTAGTGTTCTTCTCATTTAATCAGGGAGTTGACCAAGAAGCATATGGAGAAAGCTTTCGTGACACTCTGTGGGTGGCGCAATTTGGAAGGATACTGTGGAAGAATATACTTCATTTCGTTAGCATTTTTTCAAAAGAATTCTCAGGCACTGAGATGTATACATACCAATTATGTGCACTCCTTCAGTGCTTCCAAGCTGTCATTATTTGGCCTTAACTGGTAATGTAAACAGGGAAATACATGCTTGTTAGGTTTTCTGATTATCATAACTCATCTGAATGTGTTTTTTCTTCATAATCACTTGAAGTTGACACCTGAAGTCAAACTTAGAACTGCTGCAAGTGACAGCGACATAAATAGATATAGTCTCACTTTCAATTACTTAGAAATTACCACTGGTGAAATATTATATCTGTTTTCTCACCAGTATTATTGACTTTAGTTTTGGCCCTCAGGGTGTACATTTGATTTGGAATTCATTCTGAGCTACATATTAAGGATATTTGCAATTTAGCAACATATGTGGCATCTACTAGAGTGTTATTGCTTTCTGCTACAGGTAAAAGAGAAAAATAGTCATTGCAATAGTAAACGGTAAATTTGCTGATCGCTATAAAACCTGAAGAGCAAAAATTTGAAGATAACTGAAAACGCTATTAGTATAATTGCTTAGCCAAATATTCTACTACTGAGGATCTGAAATTCGGCTCCTTATGTTAGCATTTAAATAAGAACACCTAACTTTCAAATGTGCATAGCGCTACAAAAATTAGTGCTAACTTCAGCAAATCTAGAGATACCAGATACATCTGAAGCTACATAATTATGACAGAGGCATTTAGACACAGAGAGTTGTAAAACGCTGATCTAATATGTATAAAATAAAGAAGGTTTAAAATAAAGTAAGCTCTGAAAAAAATAATCCTTTTCTCTCTCCTTATATTTGAGCTAGTTCAGCATGCAGTGTCTCTAAGAGTCCAAGTGGTGCCTGCTTGCCCTTTCCCTGGTGGAGCTGGCCCAGCCCTAGCAGGGACCCCTCTGCAGCTCTGGTTCAAGCTCACCTGAACCTAAGGAGTAAGGAATCCAGGGGGAAGACATAGGGGGAAAGGTGAGAAAGCAATGAAGGTCTCCGGCCAGCTAGAGCTAACTGTGCTTGCTGGCACTGCCTGGTCCCAGCACTGGAAGATGGCTCGGAGAGCACATCCTTGCCTACCTGGGGAGCTGTGTGTGTGTTTGAGGTAAAACAGCATTTGGGGTCATGCAAATGACTGTGGGAATCTATGCAGGCCTGGGGGCCATGGGAGGCTATGCAGGAGGGAGAGATAGGGCGTGGTATATGATGCTGCCTGAGGACCAGGCTGGGTCAGGGAGTGCTGACCCAGAGAAAGGGTGAGGAAGGAGTGCAGACACAGAGAAAGCAGGAGACAGAGGGAGTCCCTAGCACAGAGGGTGTGAGCTGTGGGTGGGGCTAATGCACGTAGCTGACCTTTTCCATATAAATGTTGTCTTTTTTATTTATGTTCTTCCAACATCCCACTGTATTTTTTTAGTGGCTTTATATGTTGACAATTGTGAATGGTGTTTTTTGATTCATAACACAACTTTTAAAATTAATTGGATTGAAATGAAGGCTTTGTCATAATGGAAAAGTTAATCTTAACAACCAATCTGAAGATGGCTGGCATGACTAATTGCATTATTTGATTGTTTCAGGCTTTGCCATTCCCTTTTTGTGTTACTACACAGTAAGTAGGAAGGAAGACCACATAGACTTGAATTAGTTATCCCAAAAGTTCAGCTAAAGGACTAAGGTTTGGGGTTACTAAGGCAATAGAATATGTGGTATAGGTAGTCAATGTAAAAGAAAAAGTATTTTCATCCCTTTGCATTCCTGTCTAGTTTGCAGTTAATCAGTATCATCTGCCTACCATTTTGAACTGCTTCATTTAAGGGTCTTGTCTCAAACAGGAAATGAATGCGGAGCATTATGATAGTGTTTTGTGGTCCTGTATAGTCCAGCTGTATGTTTTTAGATATATATTTGACTGCTTTCTGCAGATTCTGATCATGTTGGAGGCCCGTGATTTTAGGAGTCCCTGCATTTGCTGGACATTTTTCGTGCAGGTTCATGTTTGCTACTGGCTCTTTGTCACAATCCAAGACTGAGTATCACATCCTTGTGACTTTCAGTGACCCTGGTGTGTCCAGAAAAAACATACAGGCAAGGTGGCAGCTATGGCATGGGACCTTAGACTTAGACTTAGTATCATAAAAAACCTGAGCGAAAGGGTCCTCTGGAGGTCATCTAGCCAAATTTCTCCCTTGCAGTGGGATTATCCTCACTGCTCCATCAGCCATACATTTTTCTACCTGATCTCTAAACACTTCTAAATGTGGAGATCCCACAGCCTCTCCTAGAGTATAGAAGAGGCAATCTGTTCTAGCGCTGCACTGTCCTCCTTGTGAACAGGTTTTATTTTTCATGTGCAATCACAACCTCCCAAACCTGAATCTACTGCCCCTTGTATGTAATAGCACAGTTGTATTTGTTGTATGCAGCATTTGTAATGCAGTATTTGTAGCAGTGAAGGCAATGACTAAGATATAGAAAAAAAAAACCAACAAATTTGATCATATAGTATTAAGGAGTTTTATTCCATTTTTAATGACAACATAACACAGCGATATTTTAACTTTTTTTTTTTCTGAGGGAGCATGGGCTACTTGGTCTTTACAATACTTATCAAGCAAACAGTTAGAAAAATAATTTATGTTACAACTTCCTAATAAAGTTCCAGTACTTGTTAGTCTTCATCCAGTATCCATTTTGCATTGATACGGATTTCTTGAAGGTGCAAAAATTGCAGTTATTTCATATCAAATTGAGTTCTTCATCACTAAAGTTCTTCTGGTGGTCAGGTGGTTTTCTTTTCCTCACTGTCTATCAGATCCACTTTTGAGGTCCCCATCTGGAAAGATCAAGATGTTCCTCAGGAGTATATGAGTTATTTTTATGTGTGTATTGATCTGTATACAGCTATATACTTCCAAGTTTTCATATCTCATTACAGAGGAAACAAGGAGAAGTTGGCACACTTATGAAAAGCAGCACGAAGAGTGTGTAATGTTATGTACATAATTCATAGAAAAGCCACAAGACAAATATATCTTCAACTTTTGCATGTTTTCTAGTTACCACATAAACAGCAGATTTAGTTGATACTGGCCATGAATCAGTAGATTAATGGTCAACCAGAAGACATTATGTTTGAAGACATCCCATAGCGTTTTAGTCCTTTGCTAGGCACTATTGTTAAAAGTGAAATGAAAAAAACCAGAAACCCTTAGTGTACCCACATCTTTCAAAATGATGTTTGTGTCTCTTCAGATGGCTCAAAGCCCAGGTTGCTTTTTCCCTCTTCAGCATAAGGGTTCACTGCTTCAGGGTTTGATCCTGCTTCAACTCTACTTTCTCTTGCTCTCCTGTAAGGAAAATTCATTTTATAGTAGAGGTCTCTGTTCTGTTCAAGTCCTTCTGAATACCCACAATCAACCCCCAATGTCAATAATACTGTGTTTAACTGGGAATATTTATATAAAAAGAATTGTGTTGGCTTTAAAGAGGAACTGTAGCACAACTACTGTGTTCTTGGAAACCCTATTAATGGACAGACATAGAAAACCAATCAAGCTTTATTCCTGTTAATGCAACAATATTTAAGGAAAATGACATTACTGGACAGCCTGCAATAAGATTATAGAAAACTGGAGGTGCTGATGAATGTGGACAACTTTGCTGCTAGAGAAGGCACTGTGTTCCCAGCAGGACATCCCATCCACCTTGCAGCAGGGTTGGCAGAAGCCTGGCCACCCTGCAGCTCCCTGTGGCCATAGCATCCAGCTGCGTTGGTTAAACTGCTCATGATGGGGGAATTGCACTGAGCTGCCAAAGCTGTCGTGCAGTGAAAGGCAGGGGGCTGAACCTTTAGCTATCCCTGTTGATGGGAGAGGGATAATAAGCTTTCATTCTTTAGCTTGTTTCAGTTAGACTTGGCAGCCCAGTTTGTAAGAATCCCGATGATTCAATTATTGGGACATCTCCCAGTCGTCATAATCATAGTATCAAAATATATTACTCACTTTTTGCGATCTCTTTGGCCAGTGATGATCAAGGCAATAACTCCAATGACAACCAGACCAATGACCACCCCAAATACAATTAACCAGATGGTGACTGGTGGTTCATAAGGTGCGGCCAGGGTTGGAAGTATGCCCACAAACTCCAGCGTGTTATCATCCAACCTGAAAGCCTCATTGATTCGTCCCCGAGACATCCTGCCATCAAATGCAAATTCAAAGAGTTTCACACACTTATTGGAAGAAAAGAAAGTTTTCAGTTGTTTTCTAAATCTCTAGTGTGCCAAGCGTCCTCTGAACTGCTCAGTTGAAAAGGCTGCACAGGAGGTACTGCTAAATCTATATTGCTTCTGGCATGGGGTGGTGAGAGACAACCACAGTAACTTAAACCCTTAACCTATTGCAGCTTCACTGACATGATCAGACACTGTATGGACTCTTAATCTCAGTCTTAACATTTATCAAAATGAGGCAAACAGCCTTGTGGTCTCCCTCTCTATTTGCATTTTGCTCTTCATTCTCTTTACCCTAAGTTTTTTGGCTATCCAAAAGTGTCTCAGATGTGTGACATAAAACCACAGCTTTTACATTTTTTTACCTATTTCTCCCCTAGAGTTTTCTGCAGTTTTGAATCTTGGTTTTTTCACTGCCCTAAACACCCTTTCCTTGGTGTATCTTCTGTGCCCTGTTTTTCCCCAAACTTCCACATCTGCTATTGAGTGCTAACTGGACAGTGACTTTCACAGGCATATTCTTCTTCCTTGGCTCACCAACTGGTCTCACTGCTTTCTCAACTCCATTTCATGTTGCTGCTGCTTTTAGATTTGTGCCCTCTTCATTTCCCACTGTATATTATCATGTTCATCTGCAGAGTTGCAGTTTTACTTATCATTTTTATAGCAATGACTTACAGTGGTGTCACAGTGTGCTATAAAAGAGCTGTTCATTGACCTGTAAGTGGGAACTAGCTCCTGCTCTGACCTCTTCTGTATAATCAAATACATCTGGCTGTCCTTCTAGTACACCATTATTCTGGAGTCCTTGCTAACAATAATTCCTTCACTGAATTTTCATTATTGAGAGGAAGAAAACACATGTGCATGCACACACCACTACTGTATATACTGTATTTCAGAATATAACATAGTTCCTGTTAAAGTTTGAGCAGTGATATTTTCTGGCAAGGTGTGATGCAATGAGATGTGTTATGGCAATTTTACATGCCCCCTGAAGCATTTTACATTGGCTGTTGTCCAAGACACATCAGATAGATGGACTGTTTTCTTTCTATCATAACAGTTCTCATCTTAGTTTCTCTCATCCCACTATTTCTATTTTAACTACATAATTGACTTTCTTGTCATCCCTTCTGTCTCAGCTAACTTGAGCACTGCTTCCCCTTCCACCCTCTCATCTGGTTGTTTTGTTGGGTTGTTTTTTCCCAGAGAGGAAAATCTCACCTGATGGCATTTTCCACGTCAGCTTTGGGCACAATATCACTGATGTTACCTGGCATGCTGACAGTCAGATAGAAAGAGATCCTTTGTGTTTGTTCCCCAACATGAATGTCTGTAATCCTGAAGGAGGAACAGAAGAGAAAGGTTACTTTCATTGTTAAGATACATTAGCTTTAAATTCAGGCAAGTGAACAGTTGTGTTTGATTGGCAGTACCAGGGGCTTAGTTTATGCTGAGGGAACACTTTCTAGTGAAATCAACTAGGAAGTGAAATCAATTTTCCTGACAGAATTTCTTTTTCTACGTGCTAATTTGTAACTTTAGTTGGAGAACATCTACTCCATACCTAAGACAATCCTTGGTGTAATTTTCCTCAGCACATAATCACCTGCAGAACAGAAAGCGTTTGGGGTTGGTCTCATGAATGAGGTGATATATGAAGTACCAAGTGGGAAAAAAAAAGTATTCTTCCTTATTTTATTCTGGGAGTAGATTCTAGATATAACATGACTGATGTTCTATAAAGTAATATCTAGATATTACATGACTGATGTTCTATAGAATAACAGCTAATAGTTTAAGTAGATAGCTTCTGGAAATTTTTGAAGATACTTAATAAAAAGGACTGGTTTTCGTACCAAAATCAATTTCATGTGAAAAATTTTGTGTTTGTAACTGAATCTAGATAAGATTAGTAACTCTGCACCAAATTCTAGTATTTTTTAATCAACAAGTTTATCTTTTCTTGGCCCCAAACCTCTTGGATATCCAGTATCAAACACATACATTGCTAGGGATTTTTATTTCCAATCAATGTACCTTCCCTGATATTCCCATGCAGGTGTTGGGCACAAATTCTCAAGGCTCACCTGCACTGCTGATATACCATGGGAGTCAAAGCCTTCTTATCTAACTTTAGCACATTACTCCTAAACTTCAGACTCTTCAGCGAAAAGACACCATGTACCCAAGCTGGCATCTTGTCTTTTGCAACCAGCTGGTGTTTGACATTGTTTGCTATCACCTTACATTTGACAGAAGGCACAATTAATTCCACCAGTCCATGCTGTTTAGTGAACCAGAAGCAATGTAGACATAGCTGGCATAATTAAGCAAGCCACTCACTGGAAGTCAACATTCTCTTTCATCACCTCTGCATAGTATTTTCTCATGGCATAGGCGATGGATGACTTGAACAGGAAGAGCTCGTTGTCATCCCATTCATACTGCAGAAACAGCACAAGAGAAATTCATCAGAGACGGCAAGTTATCTGACACTAAGAAATCATTCTAAAAAGAAATAGCAATTGTAAGGCTTGGCATGCACTTCAGTATTATTTATTTGTACCATTATAGCACATCAGAATACTACCCAAACACTTTAGCTCTGCTAATCTTGGCTCTCTGCAGGAGAATAACCAAGCAGGCATCCCTGCTGCCAGACATCATGGTGTCCCTCTGCAATTTCTGGTAAGTTTGCATAGGGCTGCTGAAGACGCTGCAGTGCCAGCACATCTCCCTGCCTTACAAGGAGAAAAGGTGTCAGGAGCAACACTATTCCTACCAAATATTGTGAATTCTCTTTGAAGTCTAACGATTTCATAATTTAGATTCTTTTATTCTGTTCTTTTAAGGAGGAGAATCTTTGGGGTGGAGGTGTCATGCGAAGGTGGCTCATTTATTTGCTTGATGAGCTGGGATTTTTTGGGGGGGTTTGTTCTGGTAAAAAAATTCATTGCATCTGTATTTCTGCAGCAGGCACCAATTTCTTGTTTTTCCCTGGAGAATAGATAGGTGATATAAAAAATGTACTGCCTGTGTGCAGGCTTCTCCTGGCCTACCTTATGAGTCCAAAGTTATTTGCAGTGGAAGTCAAAAACAGCTTCTCTGAAGCAGGAACTAAGAGCTGTACAGGGGGCAAAAACCACCACAGGAGCTGATAATTCAGCCTGGTCTGTTGTGCAACAGTGAATGTGCACAAAGGGGAAATTCCCAACTGAACTTGTGGCAATTTTTTTTATCCCCCTAAGGCCTAGATTTGATTATGTTTATGGTACCTGGGCAGGAATGCCTATAAATGCTGTCATTGATAGTTTTACACAGTTCCTGACCTTATTAAGTATCATTCAGGAAGGTGTGGTAGAAGGCAGCTCTGTTGTAACAGGCTTTATAAAAATCAGCTACATTTTTCAATCCTGTCCCCCTCTTGATACTGATATAAAATGAAGAAAGAGAAATATGTATAAACATAAAAAAAAACAGGGATAAACGTTTTAGTAGGGTCTGTTGCAATAGGACAAGGAGTAAGATTTTTAGACTAAAAGAGAATTGATTTAGTTACTGGATGAAATTCTTTACTGTGAGGGAGGTGAAGCAGTGGGACAGGTTGCCCAGAGAGGTGGTGGATGCTCAGTCCCTGGAAACATTCAAGGACAGTCTGGGTGAGGCTCTGAGCAACCTGATCTAATGGAAGATATCCCTGCTTATTGCAGGGGTTCTGGACTAGATGATCTTTAAAGGTTCTTCACAACCAAAACTATTCTGTGATTCTACAAATACAGGGGAGGAAAGAGCAGAAAGAGCCTTGTGTTGTCAGTCCATGCAGGATCACGCCCCAGGAAAGAAAGGTGCAGGTGACCCAAAGCCACTGCAATCAGAGCAGTCCCCGTGGCATTCAGAGGGCAGGGGCTGTGCCAGCCCTGGCTGCTCCGACCAGCAAGGGCTGAGGCTGTGAGTCACCTTTGCCAGGCAAATGCCCCTGGCTTTCTCCAGCTTTCACAGCCCTGCACTGAAACACTTCTTGTTACCTCTGCTGTCTCCGGCAGCTGGCACTGTTCACCATAACAGCCTATGATGCTGTCGTGGGGGTTTCTCAAATTTCTATTTATGCCCAGACATTATGGGCTGTGTGGATGGGAAGTACCTGGCTGGCTTCTGATCTGTGTTTGAGTAAAAACTACCCACACTCCTTCCCTAGGCATCTCAGAAACACACCTTACGCTGTTTGTTACAGAAGCTGCTTTGCTTTCAGAGAGAAAGAAACTCTGCCAAGTGCCTCTGCTCTTTCCTACCGTGTTCCCTCCAATATCCCACGTGTGACTTGAAAGACCGTGTAACTCTGGCCTCTGATTCAAAAAGGATTTTTCATTGTAAAATACATCTAAATGCCTGCAGGCTGACAGCTTTCCATTCCCTAATGCTGTCTTGTGTGCCAGCCTTTTACAATGTAATCACATGTATGGCATTGATCCAGTGGGGAATTTTGAATTAATGCTTGAAGAGGAGTCCTGTTTTCAGGGCTGATGGTCGGTGGACTGATCCTCCTGGAAACTTTTATTTTAAATAAGACATAACCCAAGAGATTCAGTGGGGATCCTGTAGCAGGTTCCTTTAGGAGGACACTTCCATAAAGCCCCAGCTGAAGCAAAGCCATGGGTGTTTCAGATTCATCAGCTACACTGGTGATCCAGTGATGCAGCTCTAATCTCATCGGCCTGGAAACAATTAGCAGGGTAATTGCGGCAGCGCACGCTCTGGTACAGCTGGCATTAAGCCCATCCATGAGTCTGGATGCTTAATTTGCCAGAACTTTGGGCTATTGAAACTCTCCTGCTGGTAGCAGCCAGGGTCGAGATCTGTAGCTGAGAGGCACAGAACTGCCTGCATGAGCTGCAGCTGCCCCCGCGGCTGCCCCAGCACAGCTCTGCCTCTGCTCAAGGGGGGAATCGTTCCCTTTCTGCTCTCTCCAGAGCAGAAATACAAATAGGTTTACCGGCATACTCAGAGTGCTTTCTACTGCCCTAACAGTGCAAAGCAACTCGAAATTCATCTTAGACAAACGATTGCAGCGGGTTCACAGCTTCTGTGCACTGTGAGCCATGTAAAGCAGCCAAAACATACTGCTCTGTGTAGCTGGGCTGAGATTCCTAACCGAGATTCCCCCTGCCTTTTCTCTGTGCCAGTTCATGCATGTACCACTACCTGCTCCTGACATACCAGCATTCAGTCATGTCCCCAGGGGCCCAGCATAAGGGAAAATCATGAGGAGGCAGAAAGAAACGGAATGGAAAAGGTTTTTTGCAAGTTGGTGATGTGGACAGGTTCTGAGAGGAAAATGTATGGCTTGCTTTTCAGATCTTAAGAACCTACTGTCCATACAAGAATTCAAATTAAGTAATCTGTATGAGATTGTTTTACAGCTGCTCAATTGCACAACAAAAGACTGTGATGGCAAAAGGCAGGCATAAAAATGGTATTAAGCTAAACATTAACCATAATGACTAATAAATGTCTTTTAATATGGAACCTTTTCATGCTGTTGATATCAGTTTCGAATTGTATCTAACTCAACTCAGCAGTCTAGGAAGCAATAAAACTCCAGTAGGGCTTACATATGAGAGAGTGATAGAAGCAAGAGCACCAATTCATATGAAAACTGAGCTCATGTTATTGTGTCCTAGCTAGTGCATAGGTTCCAACACGCAGGTCTAAATAACCTGCTGGATGACATACTCATTCTTGGAAAATTACTAATGTTCTGCAAGGTGAAAATGGCTCTTAAGAGGAATGAAGTGTCTCCACTTAAGCCTTCTACACTGCCTCCCTGAGATTAGCATATAGAGGAACAGCTAGAATAAGGAGCAAATTTTCAGCCTGGGTTAAGCAGGTGGGCTAAGCCAATGCTCTGTTAAAATTGTAAAAGCCATCTTTGGCTTTGATGAGTTTTTTTGGTTGCTCTAATACATTTTATTGGACCAGCTGGTATAATTGGGAAAAGCAGACAAGCTCTTGGGAATGAAAGCCCTTCTTCTCATCTGAAAGAGAAGCAGCTGCACTGCACTCTCCCCCTCTCAATAACAAAGCTGTCTCTGCATAAGGGTTGGAGGGCAGGGAGGCAGTCGAATATATCAGGGCCCAGAAAACAGGCAAAAAAAAATCTACAAAGAAAGGCTGACAGCAGTGTTTTAGTTTAAAGTCAAGAGCATTTAAGAATAGAGTGTTGGAATCAACCCCTCTGCTTTAGCCCCACGTTAAATGTGAAGTAGTGGCTGTAATAACTTCTGAAGTCAGACACCATAGCCACGATAACTAATATTAGAAGAAATTAGGTAGAGGCCTTATTAGACAAATCAACATAGCTGGGAAAAACACAGCCCTTTTCAGGCTTACAGATTTCCCTATGTTAGCCCTCCAGGCCTGTCCTGTAGCAGGTGAATAACTGTGATTGGTATCTCCATGGAGTAACTCATCTAGCTGAGATGTCTCTCTTAAAATGGATGGGATCACTTTCTGGAGAAAGTCCCTTCACTGATTCTAGGGGGAGTCTTGACCAGAAACTCAGACAAGACATCTTGTATGTGATAAGTTTTCACCTGAGATGATGCCACTCTTCAGACACAAAGATCAGCTCTATCCTGCCTTATTTTCCGAGAACTATTAGTACACCATCCCTGTTGCCCGAGCAATGGGAAGGGAGCCACAGCACAAACACACTCACCGCCTGGTCCCCCAGCGCTGACTTCAGGCTGATGCGCACTTTGATGGCATCACTGGAATCTGGTTTAAAAAGAAACAAGGGCCTTGTTAGAGCTGCATTAACAGAAAGTCTGTCCCTGGGAAACACTGGGGTGGCTAAAGTTTCTTTATGGGCTCCCCTGCTTCTCCTAGAGAGCTTGGTGGGATTGATCTTGTTTCCTTTCAGTTACCACTACTGCAAACATGCATGTGAGCTGTTCAGTCCCCAAGCCTGGCTTTGCAGTAGACAGAAGAAAAATTCCTATTTCCCACCACTGGGGAGGAACAGCTTAGATGCAGATGTTGATGTCTGGTTAGGTGAATCTCAGCATTAGAGACTAGCACAGCATTGTAAGAATTATGGTACTCTCAAGTACAGATAGTGATTACACATATATAACCTGAGTGGTTCAACAATTATTGTCTCCACAATAGGCTGAAAAATGCATTTTTCACCTTTTCCTCCCCTTGAGCTCCCATCTTTGACTAACACATGACAGTAAAAAAACACAGTACTAATTTTTTTGCACTGGTTTGTCCCTATGCCCCCAGGTCAGGGTCTGCTGGCTCCCAGGACCAGTGGTTACCAGCCCTACCAAACAGGCCCACTGCTTTCAGGCAAGTGCCACACAAGTCCAAGCCTCTGATCTTTCTTCCTTTTGTACAGCCATCCCACACTCTGAGAGCTGCCTCTATGACAAAAAAAAAAAAAACAAAAACAAAAACAAAAACACCTCAATTTCTGAAAACTGGGTGGGACTCTGACAAACCTCGTGATGACTTCTCCAGCTCTGGCCATGAGGAAGCCAGTCCATTTTCCTGTGAGTAAAACTTACTGCTTGGTTTGTATTTCCCATAACCCTCTTCCCTATGGAGAAGAGCCTTCAACAGCTACAAGAGAGAGGGACTTTGCTAATCAAGAGTTGTGAGGACTAACAGGAGTCCTTTAATCACTCACAAGCCATACATACATGGAGCCCAGTCTGTTTTCCAACCAATGAATCTTCCAGAATTGTTTTTTTGCAGCCATTCATATAAAGGTTCAAAGTAGTGGAGCAAAGGTGTTGCATTCATGTATTTCTCTCCTGTTACACTTTCCAGTGCTTCAGTCCAGGGCTTGGATCTGCCTAATGACAGCAATTGTCTGTGTATGTGAAATGAGAAGTAATATATGTTATTGCCACATTCCATCTAGAATAGCAAAATACTCTGTGATCACTATAAAAGTTTTCTTATTTGCTTCTGAATTCCCTTTTTTCTCCTATTATTCCTATTAATAAAAATATTTTATTTCCATTAACAGCTAATTAAACCTTCAATGTTTAGAACATCAGTGTACATAAATCTAGTCAACTTGTCCAAATGAACTGAGCAAATACACGCTAAATTTCCAAGCTAGGTTCATCCTTGATGCAACCTCATTAACTCTAGAAGGTTTCGAGGATGACTTAGGCTTTGTTATACTCTGATTTACACGTGTGAGAAATTTGCTTCATTACCTCAGCTTCTCACCAGCTGCAGTGGAGTTGGTTATATCACATTTGTGAAGAGGGCCAGTATGGTTAGCTGCCTTGCAAAGTGCCTCCTGAAACTGGAACTGATAGATGGTCCGGGTGTAATACCTAAAGGAAGGGCAAGGAAAAGGGAGGCACAGGTTTTGTTAGTTGTCTGTCAAGGAAGCCCGCAGGCCCTTGGCCTTCAAAAAGCTCTGCTGTGTCAGCCATCACTCCTATGTGGGGGGCTGTACTGCAGGGAGAGAGGGCAGATGATATTATAGGCTAAGCTTGCTCGAATCTAACAAAATGCCACGATTAAATGCAGCAGAAGAGCCCCAGATCTGTTTGTTGCCACAAAAACCAGGAGAGAGTAAGGTTTTTAAGTTCAGCTCTCCACTCTGGCTGAACCCTCTAAAATGTAATGGATGGGACACAGAGGGATGTTCAGAGTTAGTTGTTTCAGGGCTGCATGTGTGTGGCCCAAGTGACACAAAGCACTGTGACTCCCCAAGAGGTAAACACCTCATACAGAAATGCTCCTGCTGGTTTGATGGCAGCATGAAGCTTCTCTGCTCGGCAAGAAGCTCAGCAGCCTCCTCATGCTCAGAGATTATTTTGGAGCAGCCCTTGATGTCCACAGAAACACTTCCATTGAAATCAGTGACCTTCAGTCTGGACTTTAAACAAAATAAGATTCAGTCCCGAGACTTTCCAGTAGATGTTTCAGGTAGCTGGGGCTTGTTCTGTAGCCAAAATTTAAGTAATGAATTAAACATTGCACTACCTTATGAAGGAGTAATCATTGGCCACATGGAACAGTGCTGCAGGGTCGCAATAGGTTTCATCATGAGGGACTGGTTCCACAACACCAACTATTTGTCTCCTGGGGATGAAGGAAAAACACAGGGTTTTTGTTAAGAGACAATAAAGAAAAATAATCTAACTCAGCTTTTCTTTTGTTTTGTCTGATGTGTATGGGCACCTCTCTCATTTCCAAACAGAAGAATTCCATACAGTTTCCAGTAACCCCAAGCAAGTTTTGCTCCACAGCTGGAGACCACAGAGAGGAAGCTGCTTTGAAACTAAGAGTGCAAGGAAATGATTTGTATAATAGCAGGGTGTGCAGGGAGAAATTAGTGGTATAAAAGAATCTACAAGATGAGATTCACACACACACCCCATGCCCTGGGCCATCCCAAGTAGAGACCTGTGTTTTTGCTCTGGGTAAGTGCATGCAGAGACCATGCAACCCAAAAGGTGGATGGCCTCCTGTGCCACTGGGCTGTAGAGGAGGTTTCTCTTTATTTTCCTCTCCTGAGAGTGTGTTTCCTGAGCAGCACTACAGAAACAAACCCATGCTCTAAGTTCTGAAAATGGTAGTAAGCTTTCACGGAAATACGTTCTGTAAGCTCATATTTCAAGTTCTTGTTCCAGCAGAGCTTTGCGGTGCCACTGCAACAGATGTGATAAGCTTCCCTGAACAATTTGTCATTCTCTGTTTATCTGACATCTCTGCTACTTTTGAATACATTGAAGCTGATTGATTTTTACAGTAGGTCAGGAAGCTTGCATATATCAAGTTTTATTATAGATTCTGTTTGCTGACAGAGGCTTAGTGCTCATGTTCATGTCAGAGGGCAAGCTCCATTTTCAGTGTGGGGCTTGTTTGGTTTCTTTGTCTTTTTCTGTCCCCATATTATAACCAACCTGGGAAATTCCAAAATGTAGTCTGAATCAAACTACTTTTAAATCTTGAGCTCCAAGGTGGTGAAAATAGATTGAGTGGTGGGCGTAATCTGATAATGCACTTTTGGATATTATTTGCCAAGGGAACTGTATTTTCTTGACAAATAAAGCTGGGATCTTAATATATAAGAAAGGAAAGAATCAGTCTCGAACCTTTCAGACAATTTGTCTCCAAACCCACTAGACAGTGGGGAGGAAACACAAAGCAAAGAAGTGTGCACAGATAGTTGGTAGATTGAGATCTGCATGCTTCTCAGGCTGGCAAGTGTGATGAACTTCACTTTCCACTTGTCCTTGAAGATGGGGGAGCACACCAGAACACATGACCAATGAGACTTAGGGAAGGGCTGTACTTAAGCACTTAAGCTACAAAGATGTCTTGGGGCATGAATCAGGGGGACAGCAGTGTTGATCTGGAACATCCCATGTGCTGTCTTTATCAGGAAACTGATGTTAAAAATGGTGGGGAAAGTATTTTAGAGGCAAGGTAAATGGCCTGGGGCTGTACACAGTCATAATGGGGATACGTGGCTTGTGAGATATTGTGTGAACCACACTGGGTGTTTCTAGCTGGCACTCTACAGAGATTTGTAGAAACACCCAGAAAAACAGATCCTGCCCTATGGGGGCACAAACTCCTCAATATGTTGAGTAACTATGAAGGGTTGGTTTTGCAGGTTCATTTGAAAAAAACCTCTTTGTTTCACAAACTTACTTCATCTCCCACCACCGTTTTGTCCATTCCTCCTTTGTAATGTCACCCCTAAACACCATCCACCTCCACTTCTCAAGCATGTAAGTAAAAGGCATTGTTCCAACAATTGTTAGTGCTTGCTTGAGCAGAAAGTTGATTTCAGTTTCTGAAGAGAGAAGCAGTTAAGGTAATGGTTATGGTAACAATTAGTATCTGATTTGATGGCTAAAGTTGCTTCCTTTTACAGTTAATGCTTACATCTTGTTTGAATCACAGATTTTCACTAAAGAAAACATGGAAGGAAGAATACAACTGAAAAAAACATAAGGTAAAATCCTCAGGTATTGTATGCAGTTTTATCCCTCTTTCTTTCACCCAACCTCTTAAATAACCTTGGCCTTTGGCATTTGCATTTCATTATCCTTCACTGAGAGCCTTCCCAGGCTCTGGGGAATTTTGAGTTGAAGACATCTAAAAATGTCAAAAATGTACATCATCATTCTAAGGCAATACTCAGGGAAGCCAGACAAACTGCATTATAACAAGGGCTGACATATGTTATCACTCAATATTCACTCAAATGGGAGATGTAAATCTCAAGGTTGCAGTTTCATTTGAACTGCTAAATACATACCTTGACAGAGATATGTACGGATTCATGCAACAAAAATTGAAAAGTGTTGTGGAGACTCATCTAAATGAACTATGAAGATTTAAGGACGAATTCAGTACCGAAGATAATAAAGTGCTAACTATTTGTTTCTGAATTATGTAGCATCATTGTAAAGCCATGATCCTTGCTCTACAATGGGATTTGGGGAAAAAAAAAGTATTTTTGGCAAATTAGTGTAGTAAGATTTTCAGAAGCTTCTCAGCTGATTGCTGAGTTGTCAGGCATAATAAGGCCTGCAAGTCCTTTACTTAAATACATAATATTTATGCATTTATTTACCTTCATCCTCTTGGAAGGTTGGCTCTAGGAGATCAAGAGATTTCAAGTGCTGAGGAGTGGCTGCAGAAAGTGACATAATTTCCCCTACTGCTTCATGGAAGCCCTCGTTGGCACCACTTCTCAGCAGGTAGGGCTGTGCAGAGTATGCCATGTCGTACTCGATGTGGCCCATCTCATGGTGTGCGGTCAGGAAGTCATCCATGGTCACCTTGGTGCACATCTTGATCCTGCACACCGGAACAAAGTGCATGTGGTTAGAGAGACAGTGGCCTAGGCAGTGACTGCCTCAGCCCTGTCTGCCACAGCCATGGGGCAAAGCCCCTCCAGAGCTTGCTAATGCCCCTTGCCCCTCACAAAACCTGGGCTGCTACATCCTGCTATGCAGTGCAGTTCCTCCTGCAAGAGTGAGACCTTGAGGGGAACTCGGCAAAACACCTTCAGTCACCTTGAAATTGTGCAGAGAGTAAGAGAAAATCGCTGTTTTGTGAGAAAGCAGCTGCTTCCTGAAACCTAGCAATAAACTCACTGTGTGTGTGGGAATGAGTAAGCACCACCAATCTTAGGAAGATAGTAGTGTGAAAAACCCTGTGTGTTGGTGACTCCTGCTACTTCATCCTCTTGTAGGTACTTTTTAATAGAGGAATTTCTTCCAAATTGGGTTTCTTTTCACCTTCCCCAGAGTGCTAAGGTGTGAGGCTGATGGCTTTCACTAAGGCTTTGCTGGGGACCAGACTCTTTCCCTGGGTAACTGTGGGGACTGCAAGAGGGGATAGAATTCCTGCCAAAAAACTTCATTGTGTGGGGACTTGTCATCCTTCTCCTTTCCCAAACATGGAAGAGATTGATGGATTTTTATGAAACTGGATCTCTTTGCTAAAGATCGACAGTGGGCCCTCAGGAGATTTTCTCTTGTTACCCAGGGACCCGGTGCCATTGATGCAGAATATGCAGTTGTCCGCAAATCTCACTGGTATCCACAAGCACCTGCTTTTCTGCTTATTCCTTAAGCCCTAGAATATAGTCATTATTTCTCTAAATCATATAAATAATAGTCACTTCTCAGCTAAAATTTGAGAGTAGTTCTTAGACCTTCATGGAAAAAGTTACACAGAAAAGTTAACAGTCCTACAGGATCTTGTCTTCCTTTCCCCTCTTATCAACCAGAAAAAAATAAAGTAGGAGAAATTATAACTTAAACCAGGATGTTGCACCTTTAGTGAAAATATGTTTATTCTAGGAGACGGTATAAAAGGGGATCATAGCAATTTCAGTACCTGTAATCGTTATTCCCCAGATCCCATGCCGTTGGGTGGCAGACAACCTTCCTGCCATCAGTTGGCTCTGTGAGCATAGAGTTTGTCCAGAAGCCCTCAGTCATGTTATAAAGGCCAACGGAGGTGAAGAAGGCCTCAGCGGCTTGGAATATTTTATTTGCATTCCATCCCTGAAAGAGAAAATGCCACCAATACCCACTGCTTCTTCATGGAGCCTGTTCCCAATGGCCTCCTTAATGCAGGGCAGCTGACTTTATCTCCCAGGAACTTCAGATCAGCACCTGGTTTACTGAGAGTAAGATAGTAGTGTCTGCCTTTGGCACTTCTGGAAATTCTGCTTGGAACTGGAATTAAGTGTTTTCCCTGAGAACAAAATAGGTTTCTGCACTCAGAGGTTCAGCTGATAGCACCTGACCCAGACCAGAGAAGTTCTCAATAAAAGATAAGGTAAGATAAGGAAGACATTCCTGTCAGTAGCATGCCAGATCTGGGATCTGACCCTTCAGCCACTTCAGTCAACTTGAGTCAACTCATTTGAGGGAGTGGAGCTACATTCCCAGAAGACGAGCATGAGAGATTTCAGCTAGAACTATAAAACCTGGCAAATGTGTCTGTGGGAGTTGCTTATCAGATTGTGACTGTGTGGTAATGCCCAAGATATTTTTGCCGTTCAGCAGTTTTATTATCCTACATATCAGAAGCTCTGCATTTACCGGACTTTAGCTTTCACAGAGATCTAGGTGGCAAACAGCTCAGGTGGATGAGAATTCTTAACTGGGGACATCAACCAACAAGGATGAGTTCAGCCTTTGCCCCTCCTTGTGGTGATACTTCAACAGATACAGATTTTTGACGGGGGATCAGCAGCATAAAATAGAGGTGAGAATGATGCAGACTTGTGCAAACTGTTAATGAATCACCTTTAGCTGTTTCTTTTCTCTTATCAGCATAACATCTGCATGGAGTGCTCCCTATGACAGAAGGTTAGATTCCAGGTGAATAAGCACATTTCAAAAATCAAATTCCACCTATCGTTGTTTATTTTTTAAAAGAAGTGAAGCTTAGGCAAGACTGCAGAGAGTTGTCTTCACCCCTATTCTTGGTCTGGTAAAGGTGCCATCGCAGCTTTTAGCACTACAGGTCTCAAACACAGACCTCATGGTGCTATGCAGTTATTAAAAGATAACAGGCAGCATTGCAGTTTCCTAGATGTATGCAAATAAACAAGACTGATAAAAATGAAACAAACTGTGATGTACAAACTATTTTATTATGGTAATGACTGGCAAAGGTCATATTTGATACCAGCCAACTCCAGGAGTCCTGAAATATTTATATGTTCAAAATATATCTCTTAATGGATAGATGTCTCAGAGGACAATAGACTTGGAGCCTTGTGTGTAGGAAAAAAGAGAATAGCTAAGGGGAAAGGTACAGTGAAAAATGCATAAACACATTAAGGTGAAGAGCAAAAAAAGGATGCAGAAAGCAATGTTTTGTTGGCAGTGTGTCTGCCTGAGGGAAGCCATGGTTTTCTAGAGAGCAGCTGACACTTGGTGCATAATTTTTATACTGTCTAGATTTGTTACACAATGCAATGCATAAATGCATGTCTTACCTTTTGAACCATTGCATCAGTTACGTCAATGTTGGGTTTGGCTGGATAGGGAACAGTCAAGGCATACAAATTTGTCCAAAACCTACCCCACATATCACCTTCATAAAAAGAGAGAAACATAGAAATACTTTCAATTATTTATTATGTATTGTCCAAAAGTGCCAGACAGCTCTATAAATTGTGCAGTGTCATAAATAGGGATTTCTATATATCTAAACTGGTCTGATCCAGATGTGGAGGAGAGCAGTTCTGGGAAGTCATGCATAGGTCAAACTCACATCAAAGATGCTTTTATTACCCAATGTCAGATATTCTTGTGCAATATAGTTTCAGAACTGAGCATCCACGTTGTTAGTCTATGTGATTTCCGTGCTATATTCAAGTACACAACAATTACAGCAGCTTGATGCTGCATGCTTTGAAAGCAAAGTCGTGAAATGCGGGAGTTTAAGATTTGAAAGGAAATACAACTCTCTCCGAAACTCTCATTTCTAAGGATGACCAGTGCTGCAAAGGGGAGGGAAATGCCCCAGCCCAATGCTAGAGTTCTGAGCTGTGTGTTGCCAGCTCTGATGAGGATGAGGACAACTTGCCTTCTCTTCCTGCCTCTGCTGCTAAGCACTCGTGTCATCTCTGCCAGGAATTTCTCCATTTCTCCTCTCCCCTTCTCTTATCTGTAACCTTTTTGCTACTATCGTGATTAAACAATCAAATTACTCTCTTCCCTCATGCCTTGAAGGTGACTGTCCTGTGTATAAAGTCAGGCTTGCGTGACATGGACATGTTGACGTACCCAGCAAGTGAGCAGGGAGGCATCCTGTGGAGCTGATGAGCTTGGGGCCGTACACTCGCTCCAGGTGGTGTCTCACGTAGGCATGCAGCTGCTGGTACAGAGGTTTTATCTGGGGGCAGAGAAGGAGAAGGAAACTAATTATTTTCACTTTGCTCTATGCCACTCATCACTCCTAAACAGAAAGCCTTGAAGATGCCTCTGACAAAATTCTCCTGGCAGATAAGTGCACCCCAAACCTGCAGCTGAGCTTTGCCCCCTGCCTCAGGGCTCAAGCACTGAGTCCAGATCCTAGCCCCAGAAGTCATGTTCAGGTATGAGGAAGGGAGCATTGCTAACTTTAAATGCAGACTATCAAGGATGCCATCTACCCCACAGGAGACATACCTCCTGCCGTGGGCCCTACCTGGATGAGAGACACAGACTTACAGAGCTCCCTCTCTCAGCCTTTGGGGACAATGCAGCCCAAGGGGACCAAGCTGGTCCTAGAATGGCTGCAGAGATAAAAATCTCATGTGTGTCTCCCAACATCTGTTAAACCTAGGTAGACTGCAATCAGCCAGTTTAGAGGTGGTCTCATCTTTTTTCATAACATCAACATCTGAGCCCACCATTTCAAAACACAACCCAGGTGAGAGCTTCTTCTGCCTCTACCTGCTCAAATGTCTTCTCCACATCTTCTATCAGCTGGTCACGGCTGTATTCATAATCTTTTGGAAACTTTGCTTCATAATTTGCTCTCCAGTAATCTCCATAGTCAGAATAATCTGTAAAGCATGGATGCATCACATCAGGACACCACATGTGGCACTGCTTAGGTCTGCAGCTCCCTTCTGATCCCATGGTGACCTGCAGCCTTCCCCCAAAGCAAAAAGGCAAAGTGCAAGATAGTTTGGGTCTAGTAGGAAGTAGAGAGCTCCCTGAGGCTCTGTCCCATGAATATGCAGGTATGGGAGGTTTCCAAGAAATTCAGAAATTGCAGTCATGGTTATCTGCTAATTAGGGTCATTCCATCTGGAGATGGAGGTCAGAGGAAATCATCACTCCTGACTGAAGCTCTGACTCTGCTCAGGCTGGATATCAAGGGGTTCATTCTCACCAAAGGTATAGGCTGGTGAACATTAAATATGGCCCTCCTCTTCCAGCAACTAATCCATCAGGACAGATGGAGACACCACAACTGAAATTGAGCTCCCAGTTCCACTAAATCTTCCAGTCCACAGAGCTCCATCAAGCCTGGAGTAGAAGTGGCTCATTGCTGAAGTTTCTTCCTCAGTGGTATGGAGGAAAGTCATAATGACCGTTTCTTAATATTTGAGGTTTTTCCCTGTCTAACTAATTGGACTATATTTTCTTATCCCTTGTCTCTAGCTCCAGCTTGACAAGTTTTGCAACACAAGGAGTATAGGAAAGCAGGTGATACAGCTGCAGTTTGTCCAAAAGACAGATTATATAGCCACTTCAGAAGCTTAGAAGACCCCAAAAGAAAATTAGCAGCCACCTACCATTGTTCCTTGAAAAGACAGTTTCCTATGATTTGTGTGGAGATCTCAGACTGGAAGCACACTTAGTCCAAAATCCTTTTTAAACACCCAGCTGCATATGCTGGCCCAGGCCTACCAAATCTGATCATTCCAGCTCAGGAATAATGCTTATAAATGCTACCAATGATTGTGGCTCCAGAAAGAAGGTCAAGGCCCATAGGAAAGAGGAGATGTTCCCAAAACTCAACAGCACTCAGAAGTTGTTCAAATCAAGTGTGCTTAACCATAAGTTACAAGCAGTGCAGTTCTGGGTAAAACAGTATGTAATGAAGGGCACTGATACATTATGGCCTTTGGAAAAAGTGCCACAAAGAAGGGTGCCAACAAAAAGGTGCCTGGTGTTCCAGGCTGGTAAGAAATCTCTGATCTGGTCAATGGCATCTGTCAGCATTGCGTCCTACTTTGGGACGTGCATACCAAGAGCAAATTATGTGCAAATTATGTATGAGTTTTGAATTCCTGGGCAAATTGTGCAAGACTGCAGTATGTTTGCTAGTTTATGGAAAACAGAAATTATTAAAAAAAAAAAATTACTTACTATTAAGCTTAGCAACCTCATTTTCAAGCTCAACATACTCTTCGTATAATGGTCTCATCATCCTGCCAACATCAGCTCTCCAGCCTTCCCAGGCCCACAGTCTCTCATGATAATCAGTGCTGTCAGCCATAATAGCATCCAGACCTGTCAGAATGAAAAATAAGTACTGGGCCTTAAAAAAGCAGAATTTTTCTTTCACAGCAGGCAAATAAACCCAAGTGAAAGAAATTTCATGAACTGAGAAGAAAGCACTTTGTGTTTGATATACTGAAATATCCCATTATTTTATTGTATCCTTCTCTCATTTAAGGTTTTTCCCTTCTTTTTAAGAAGCATGGAGCAAATCATGAGTGTCTTACATGCTCTCTCTGCGTTGCCCTCCCTTGAGTTGGTAGAGTTCTTGGGACTGGCCTCAACACAGCATTGATTCCAACAAGACTTTGACAGCAGGGGAAAAAAATTAAATTTTCTGTGATGTAGGCAAACCCCAAGTGACAGGCAGGCTGCCAAACAAACTGAGCAGCCCTCTCCAAATTTTGTCTACTACAAGGAGGAGACAGTATGTCTCGTGGGCAGCAGGCCCACTGGAGTTCCCTGAACTGCAAGGTGCAATTAAATTATGACTAAGCTTTAGATAGCAGGATATATCTATTGAAATTACTGCCTGTCCTCTTGCAGTCAGGAGCCACCCTTGGGCTTTCTCTTTGTGCACCCTCAGGGTAAAGGACACAGTAGGGGCAGTGGTTAGTACCGTACCTGGTTCCAGCACCAAACACTCAGATGGATCACTGATTTTACAGACGGTCCCAGTGCTGTAGATGGTACTCATTGTACTTAGCACAGTGCCCAGCTGCAAGTTAGATGCAAGACAGTCTGTTAGAAACCCACTCTGTGCAAAATAACAGCCAATTATGCTAATTCCTTAAGAGCTTGATTCAACACTTCACCCACCAGCTTAGCATTGAAGCATACATTTAAGCTCAGTAGATTTTAATGAAAGAATTTGCCTAAATGTATTAGTGAACCAGACCTAGCTGGAGAAGACAGATAATCTCCCAAATATATGATGTAACCTGCAGGTTCTGAATATCCAGTCAAACAGATCGCTGGATTTAATGAGCACTGACTGTCACAGGAAAGCTATAAATACACAGCAGCAATAAAACAATAAAAGTTTAGCAATGTGGTTCCATAAGCATGAACCCACATTAACTTTCTAGGGAGATCATGGCTTTGAATGGCAGCAAAAGGGCCCTTTCTGAAGATGCTGCCAGGCTGACTGTTGCTTGTGGTTTTAATGTCACATCACACTGATTGCATAGATCTGCTTATACATCATCACAGAGAAGTTATGGCTCATGTCTTGGCCCAGCTAAGGCCAAAACCCATCTGAAATCATCTCAGAACCTATGTTACGTAGCTTTGGTTTTTTGGGTTTATTTTAATGTTTTCATGTTTTCATGCCTCAAGAAATATATGTACCACTTTTAGCTTTTCCTTTAGGACTATGCAATTTCTCATTTAGAGCTCTAAATCAGAACTATAAACAGCTGTCAGTGGGAGGGGTAGTTAGTGATTAGCTCTAACTTTATTTCTGTCAGCATTAAAATGGTGCCCAGGGAAATTTTTGTATCAGTGAAGAATACCTAAGTATTTCTATGGAATCCCATCAGACTCTACAAAAAGTCACTTTTCAAGAAAGAATCAACAACTTCAGCCTCAAAGGCTATTATCTAGGAAACTCTAAATATCTGAACAAGGAGGGTACTGAAGAAAATACCTCCTCAACTGAGACAGCATTACCACCAGTGCACTGTTGTGCTCCAAAATAAATATAAGTTTGTATAAACTGTCAGCATTCCCGCCAACGTAATGTGTCTTTCGCGAAACACATCTCATTTGGAGATACAAGAGATCCAGCCAATCCGCTGTTTTTCTCTATGGTGGTTAGCACTGCTAGCACTTAGCAGAAAAATCTCCGGATCCTTCAATAATTAGGATTGTAGGATCCTGGACTGTAGGTTCCCATGACTCAATGCTATGTTTCAATTCGATCTCCAGCAAAAAGAAACTAATTTGACTCTCAAGTGTTTGGTTATGATTGGCTATAAATCCCTTTTGAGTCCGCATAGCTGCTCACTCCAATTTCACAAATAGTCATTATCCATACATCTGCCTCTTACATGAACTTGCCAGTGCAAATGTCAAATCTGGTTATGAGTCTTGCTAAATCTTGTTGGCCTTCAGTGGCTTTCTGTGGAAGGAGGTCACCAACCCTCCCCAGTTTCAGGCATCCCAAGGTGCCCACTGCAACAAAACATCCTCTCTTTTTCACAGTTTGATAATGCACCACGTGCACCTTTTTGACTCAATGGATGTCCTTTCACCCATCTCTTTCTGCTCATTGCCCTAGGTCTGGACTTCACCAAGCACTTACCACAGGTCCTTTTTTTCTCTTATGACTAATCCTGTCATTTGTGCAAGGACAACTCTGAGGCACGGTCGTGTGTGCGTGTGCTTGAAATTCATTCGATGGCAAAACTGCTGAATTGAATGGCAATCAGCTTCCTAGGCTAGACCCCCCCTTCCAATCCTGTATTCCTACAAACATCTAGAACAGGTACACTTCCCTATCACACACAGTATCATCGCAAGACAAGTAGAGTGGCAACAGCACCATGCTCTCACTTGAGGGTGTTGTGGGAGGCAGCTCAACTCACCCAACATAAATGAGGTACATTCAGCAACTTACTCTGTTATATTTTTCTGGTGACAGCACAGATGATCCTCTGTCCTGGAGAATCTGGATCTGGAGCTTGATGAGGTTATCATCAATGCTGTCTACTGGGAAGCTGCTGGCGTTCTGAGAGGCCTCGTCGTAAAATGCAGACCACTTGGCACTTGCCTCGTTCTGCAAGGGGTTCAAACAAACCCTGAATTATTCCCTCCCAAAGAGTGCAGCAGCCCAATGTACTCAGTGGGCAAAAATATTACTTCTGTAGAGAACTTCATTTGTAGAGAACACTTGTGGATTGCGGATTGAGCACTTGCACTGCACAGTGAAATGGCTGGAGAGCTTTTTGACCTTGTTTTACTCACACATCCAGATAACCATTTTTCTTTGGAAATAACAAAAAGCATGACTGTCTCCTCACACCTTGCTCGTTATAATTGATCCAGCATCACTTTTCTGTGTTCCCTGCTACTCTAAATCACCACCTATTCTTCCTTTAGTGCTTTTCTTTGCCCACCTGTGAGGAAACAAGAAAGGGCACAAACAGGTCGGCAGCATAGATGTCACTCCCCATTTTTGCTGCAGTAGCAGTGGCAGAGAAGCAGCCAACAGCAACAGCAGAAGATATTGATACTGAGTCTTTTCATTATCCAAATATCACTTTCTTCTGAAATATTGGTAAATAAATTTTTCTTTTATTTTATACTTGGGCATAGGAGGCTCTAGGCAATTGCCTAAATTGGGCATGCAAAACCTCAATATTTTATGAGATTGTTTTTACCACTGCTGCAATTATGCACATACATGTGAAACTCCCACATTTCAGTGCACAAAGTAGCACCATAAGAGCATTATTTGGATTTGGGAATGTCTTATTCACCTTTTTCTAGTGTATTTGTACACAGTTTAGCACATCGGCACCCATTCCAAATGGCAACAAGAACAGTACTGATTGACCTGGGTCCTTCAGACAGTTTAATAGATTGTGCTTATTACCGACGCTTCCCAGGTTGTGGAGAGGGCCCCTGTAACACCCATCCCTCCCTGCTGAGGAATCAGGAAACACAAATGTCATACTGTGCCTGAAGAGCTCTTTCAGTCACCTTTCACCCCTGTACAAACACACAGCAAGGCCAAGGCTTTTGCCAGGGCTCTGCCCGGGCTGTCCAACCCCAGGCATGCCGTGTGTGCAGTACCCACTGTACCTGCTCTAGGCTCCAGCAGAGAGAAGCAGTGGCAGACGTAAGCCCTTGGCAGTCCTGTCCCTGCGTCTCCCCTGCCCATGTAGCCCCTCTGCAGGACAGCAGCCACCACTGGGAGATTTTCCAAACTCTCCCTTTCATGGGAGCATGCTAAGCTAAGTGGGCAAGAGCTTGATAAGCACCCAGAGGAAGAGCATCACTGTGAAAATGTGTTCCTGAGCTCCTTCTCCTAAGCAAGGACAGAGAGGTGCCTTAGGAGTGGCGGGGCAGAAGGGGGGGCTCTTTGGCTACAAAAGCCAGAGGACAGAAGTTAACTTGCTGTCTGATATTTCCACAATTAGAGGAACTGGTTGGTAACTCAGAGGAATAGTTATAGGGTTTGTGACATGATTTACAAGGAAAATGGATGGAAAGGAGCCAGAAGGGACAGTATTCATTAACTCTCTTCCAGCAGAAAAGGAAAAGAGGAATCAGTGGGTTTCTTACCAGTGCTGCTGAAGAGATCAAGCAAGAGAAAACATTCTCTCTGAGCAATGGACTAATTGGTTCTTATTGCTGGTATCTTCTCATGTATTTTATTATCATCTCATTAATGCTGGAAATACTATATGAGGCTTTCATTTTATGTGTTTGGAAACGTTACAGTTTAAGCACCTGGTGCCTTGGAAAGCATTCAAGATTGACAATGATTAGTCATTTGAATTTCTTCCAGCAACCAGTCTCCTTGCTTTAATTAAGAAATATGATAATTAAACCATGTTTCAATTAAGCTATATGACCACAAAGTGGAAGACAAGCCATTACGCAAAAATAGATGTACAGTGTTCAGCTTCATTTTTATGCCCTAAATTCTTTTCTCTAAAGCTTGAGTTAACTTTAAAATACACACAGCTACAAAATTCAAGGTGTTTTTGTGCATTTTGAGAGGCTCTGAGCTCACAAGATGCTGGGCTGAGGCATGGCAATATCAGTAACCAGCCAGGCCATAGATGCCTGCTCTCAAAAAGCCCTGTTCTTGCCTAGAGCTCCTGTTGTCTGGGAAAACCAGAGGCTAGTGTTGAGAAGCAAGAACTGTTCTGCAAGACAGTATAGGTATAAATGCCATGGTCCTTCCTGCAGATAGAAACTGACTTTCAAACCAATATACTAGACCACTGTACTACAAACTCCACTGCTGGCAATTGGTAGTCGATGATCTCGATTCATTTTTCCCAGTTTTATACCTCCAGGCAGCATAGCAACAGCCCTGACTATGAGAAGAGTGATGGAGGCAGGGGGGAAAGTCCCCCACTGGATAACCGGTGTGGACCACCATATAAACCCATCAGCAAACATTTAATAGAATACCTACATTCAGAAAATGTTTGCATATTCACTGAGAAGCAAAACAATTTCAGGACCAGAGAAGAGAGAGCATTGGCTGTTCCAATAAAAAGCCCGACGTAAATTCAGTCACATCTCTCTCCATTCAACACAGATTTTGGGAACGAACATGCAGAGCATCCTTGCCTTTTCCCTCCACTCACTGGGGTGACTCCAAGTGATGGCTAGGGACAAGCCCAGGCTCCATCCATCCCTGTGCAGTGCAAAGGCAGTCCAGGTACCAACCCAAGGCTGTAGAGGTTGGTAGTGGCCCAGGCACACCCGGTGAGGCATTGCTATGTTAAAGCAAGCCCCTCTACCCTCCTCAAACTAAACCACAGATATCAAGTAGCACTCTAATTTCAGCCAAGCTTGGTGGAACACCAGAATAAACCAGAAAGTAGCTGTCAGATTCCTAAGACAACAGTAAAACCCACGGGATGGAGCACTTACCATTTTCTTGGCATTCTCCTCAGTGATGTTGGTGTTGTAGTTCCATGAGGCAATGGAGCTCTCGTAGCTGATATTTTCTGCCATCCTGTTAAACTGTTCTAGAAAATTTTGGGCTTGTTGGTTGACATTCTGAGGGGTCACAGCAGTGATCAGACCACAGAGAAGCCAGAGGTGGACCAACATATTCATGTCCAGGCTGAGAACCTCTCAATGAAGTAGGTTTCCTCCAGTAAGCTTCTCTGTCAGCCTTTGTCTCATCAGCCTTCAAGCATGGCCAGCGTGAAGAAGAAAGGCTGAATCCAATTTGCTGGTCCTTTTATAGGTTTTATTCCTTACAGGAGAGAAAGGAAAAAGTTTTTTATAAAAAGCCAAATAAACAAAAGTCAATGATTAACTTTGGAAAAACATAATTACTCCTGCCCATTTTATGGCCTTCTTATAAAAGGCTTTTACTTTTGGTTAATGTTTCCCAAATGTGCTGTCAATGATACAGCTGATCACTTTATCTATAGCCTACCAGAGTCTTTGGTAGCTCAGTCTGTGAATCCTTTAACAGGTTGGTGATGAGCTGTAAAAATATTTAGAAACTTCACTGAAACACTAAGCAAGAACCTTAATTCCCATGCAGAAGGAAACCCCAGTTAGCCTGAGATAGGGTACCTAGTTGCATGTTTAGGCCGATGTTTTAAAAGGCTTTTCAAAGCCCAGGTGATTTGGAGAACAGACCTCCTTTTCAAAGCAGTCAAGGCATATAAACCCAGAAATTTAAATGTGCTCACTTCACGGGATCACATCCTGCATAGAGACCTAATCTGAACTATAAATCAACTGGATTTAAGTACTAAGGTGACTAAGACTACTAAAATGACTCCATCTTAAGATCTAAATACCTTTGCTAATCTAGCCAGGAACCTTGTGGTTACTGAAAATCAGTGGGAAAATCAATGCATGAATTAGCTCTGGAAATGCAGGTTGGGTTGAGCTTATCGATCAGACAGCGCCTTAGTGCTTTTTAAATTAGCCTATTTCTTCTCAGGATCACTTGGTTAGTTCTGTTTTGCATCTTGTGGGGGAGATTTTGAGATGCAACTCTGTAGCCACATCCATGGGGTTGTTTTCCAACCAGAGGAGAGCTTCTCCAAAACCACTATGAGTCTGCCTACGTGGGAGCAACAGCAATCAGTGCATTCTTCAGTAGAGAACAGGGATTATGATGACTCTTCAATTCTTTTATTTTCTCTTCTATGGTGTCAAGTTAACTGCATAAACATTGAACTAGTACTTTTTAGGGTACTGAAACAGGGCTGGCTGAAGACAAAATGCCTTTTTACATGCAGGTGCTATTTTTCCCCCCCTTCAGAGTGCTCTGGTGCCTTCCTCAGGGGCAGCTCTGATAGTTGTCACCTCCCTGCCATGATGCAGGAGTCACCTCTGCTCCTTGTCCAGTCTGCCACTGTCACATGCCCATGCACAGCTCTGAAACCCCCAAGGGATGCCTGCAGGACCCAGGGGACCCTAAACAGTGGAATACTTGTGGAATACCTGAAGGGGAGAGAAGGGTGTCACCTCATTTCATATAGGGAGTGCATCTGCACCTGCATTTGAGTGTGTGTGCAAACGATGTGGTGAGCTGAAAACGTAACAAGCAGAGTCATGTTGAATTGTGCTGCAAATTTTTAGACCTATTTCTAAGTTCTTTTCTATTGCATATCTAAATGCAAACCTTGATATTATATCTGAGGAATAATGCAATAATTACATTCCACCTTTCTTGTCATTGCCTTTACGCAAGAGAAAAAAAATCAAGATGTGAGATTAGCACGAAGTTATGTTTTGAAAAATAGTGTTACAACAGTGAGGAGTCACTGGACTCCACAAACATCAAACTTTCATGGATGGATTTGTTCCCATTAAGCAGACACATGGGAGACCACTGGATACATAGGATCATAGAATCCTAGAATATCCCGACTTGGAAGGGACCCACAAGGATCATCCAAGTCCAACTCCTGGCCCTGCACAGGACACCCCAAGAGTCACACCATGTGCCTGTTCAAATGCTTCTTGAACTCTGTCAGGCTTGGTGCTGTGACCACTTCCCTGGGGAGCCTGTTCTGGTGCCCAACCACCCTCTGGAGTGAGTGTGTCAGCCTTACTACCATGGCAGCCTTTCTGCAGGATGGCCAGGCTCAGCTGAGAGTGATTTATGTTGCTCAAAATGGTGATGGCCATCCATTCTTGGATAAGCTGGGAGTATTTCTTGGGGTGGACCTTCATGCTGGTCCGGAAAGCTGGTGAGAGCATGGAGACAGTTTGTGCCACAGCAAAAAGGAAAGAGTAAACAGCTGAGAAAGGAAAGTACCTTGAGCCTTTTCAGGAAATTCAAACCTCCAGCCAGGGCAGCAAGGCAGAAGCCTTGGGTGATAGAAGAAGAGCAACTGGGAGTTTAAACCTGATCTCAACCAAATATGTTGCCATATGAGGTGGCAACCAGCCTGCTTTCCTTGGAGCAAAGCAACTCTCAGCTTCCCGCCGTTACAGAACAAAGGCTGCATGTAACCTGACGTGCTAATACAGGCTCCTTCTCCTCCAGTGTGCCAGTCCTCCCCTCCACCCCCTAGGCTGCAGCGTGAGTTGTGGCTCCCAGCTCCTACCTGATACTCCCAGTCCTGTCCCCAGGGTCCGAGTTGTCTGACATCTGCTTAGATTGCTGCCCACCAATGTTCATCCATACCCTGCCTCTGTTCGAGCAGTTTTCTGCCTCATCACTCATGTTGGCTAAGCTGTGCTATGAAACTAGGACTGCAATAACAGAGAATTGCATTTTGGACATGCCTCAATAAGAAACCTCTATGTTGTGTATTGGGCACCACACACCCTTAAAATGACTTAAAATACCATTATCAGGCCATTTTTTTCCACACAGCAGCACTGTTAAAGCTCTCTGCTACACTATGTCATTCTGCCTAGTGCATAAAGGACAGACATAAGCATTACTCAGTGATCAGTTTGTGAAGAGGGGCTCTGAAGGGCTGTGGCTGCACAGCCTGGAGCATCCCCAGGGAAGATGAGCTGCCGTGGGACAGCCACCCCACTGCCTGCACAGTGTTGCAGCTGCCCCGCTCTCTGCCACTGCTCTGCCGCTTGCCAAAGAGCAGCGTACATCAGTTAAATACCTGGCAAATCCTTGCTCTGAGGACTCCCGTAAAGTGGCTTTATGGAGGCAGTGGACAGCCCAGGGGCGGCTTCAGCCCCTCCACACATCTCCCTGCAGCAGTGCTGGGAGAGGGGCTGTGCTGCCCCAGCTGCACCTGGGCATCACTGGGGGGCAATCCCCGATCCTCTCCCTCTTTCTCGTTCTTCAAACTGGAGGCTTGGCAAATAGTCCTTTTAATCCCCCGAACAGCCTTTTTTCCCACATGATTAACTCTTCTGCATGCGTGACATCCGCCTTTTCTCGGATGAAAGCCCTCCTGCCAGTGCTGGGACTGGGGAGCTGGCTCCCTGGCTTACCAGCTGCCCTCAGCCCATGCAACCCGAGCTTTCCTGCTGGGAACACTCCTACGAGAGGAGGCTTTCATGAGATCCTTGTGTCCGATCTCTAGGTGGGGAGCAGAGCTGTGTGGCAGCAAGGAGGGTGGATATCTCTACTCTTCTGCAGGCAGGTACAGCCTGTCCTGCTCAACATCTGAGCCACCAGGGATGAGCTCCCATGGAAAAGGCATGTCTCAGCAGACAGTCTCAGCTCGAGCATCAGCGGTTTGGGCTCAGCTGGCTCTTCCTCTGCAGGAACGACACAGGGCAGATGAGTGGCTGGTCAGATTAATTCTCTGTTGCCCAGCATGAATGGAGGTCAAGGCGGCGAGTGCAGGGCACAGAGACTCTGCTCCTGCTGCCCCACTCAGGACAGCCACCTCAGAGGGGAGAAGGGAAGGGAGGTTTCCAATTGGCTGGCATCCACCTCCTGCAGCTGGTTCAACCACACAGCCATATCCCAGTGACATCCTGGAGCAGGGAGGGGTTTGTATACCACTGGTCTGAGGCTGGGGCCAGTGCCTTTGACAACAAATTCGTACCTCTCCATAACCTCCTGTTCCAAGGCAGGCTGATCCACTCCGTTTTTCAGACAGAAAAGCTGTCACTGCCACACAACAACTTTGCACTGAAAGGTTGCCAACAGGCTGGTGGCTGTTTTCCAAGTCAGAGTGCTCAGCATCACCAAGGGAGAAAGTGCCCTGTAGGCAAGGGCAAGCCTCTCATCTGAAGACAACATCAGGAGCTGTGTAAAGATGCTGTCAGCTGCCCGAAGCATCGGGAAACCAAAGTGGTTTTGCAAGGTTTAGGAGAAAGCTTTGAAGCTGAACGATTTTCAGGAAGGTGATGACTGTACAAACTGGCAGGTTAAATTAGGATATCATGAAGTGTTATTTTTGAAGGCTACAGTCAAAATCAAGACCATGTCGAGAAGGCAGAGGAAAGGCAATGACTCAGGGGTATGGTGTTCTGTATTCCTTACACCTTGTCTATTACAAAAAGCCACCTTGGCCCACCAGTGAAGGGAAGGTATTGATCCTGTGAAACATGGCTTTTCATCCAGGCAACCCACATTTCTCATTTCAGTCTTACTAAGGTGGGAGTGAGCAGTCTCAGTTCATTTACAGTGACCATGTGTTCGCACATCAGCACCTGCAGAGTTGTTTAGATACAAGATCATAAAGAATATTAGTCCAAGGTCTAAAATTCCTGTTGGTCCACAACTGATAAAAGCTACATACTGTAATTTGTAGCAATTACAATTTAAATTATAGGAGAGAGGCAGAAGCTGATGAAGAGATAATGCCGGCTCACTCTTGCAGTTTCTCTGAAATTAAATGTTTTCCATTTAGCCATTACTGTAGCTGATAAGATGCTTTGATACCTTCAAATTGCCACCTCTAAGGGAAAGGGAAACACAGTAGGAAGGAAGAGGACAGACCAGCAAAATCAAACTTTACCTTTTGATCTTAGGTCAAACTCGGTTCCTACTGAACCTGCTGACTTTACTCAGAACAAAGTCAAATTTGTGCTATAAAGGTGGAATTCCTCTGAACTGATGCAAACATCAATTCAGTCACAAAATATCCAGTTAAAATGCAAGTCTATTATGCTAAGTGCATTCACAGTGCTTAATGTATTCATAAAACTGAACATACTGACATATTTGTGCTGGTAAGTGTGTACCACTCATCACTGTCAATGTACTTTAGCTTTATGTGATTTGAAAACTAGCAAGTTCAGTCTGTGAAATTAGGCATATCTAACTGCAAATTTTTCATTAGCAATTGTCTGTTAGTGTAGGAAGCTGTGGTGTCATTTTGTTGCACACATCCCTTCTTGCACGTCACATTAAAAGGAAACAAAAACCAAGAGAGGCCAAAAAGATCTACTTGTAGAAAGTCAAGCACAGATTACTCATTGTGGGCAGCTGGTCACTGCATTTTCCATAAAGACTAGACATATTTAAAACTGCTCATTTCATGAGTCACAGTCACTGCACTGATGAACTGACCAAATTTCTGAGGGCATCTGAGCCTCAGAAATTTGGTCAGTTTAAGAGTATCTAGAATCACAGACTCCTACTTTTCACTGAGTTATTCCATGTCTTTGTTGTGCTTCTGCCCTTAGCTTGAAAGTAATTTCTTTTGTTTTCCCACAGGTGGGAGCTTACACATGAAAAACTCTTCTGTCAAGATGTGATAACATTCCTTGCTTGGCCAAAACTGATGCCCAGTTCTTGAAAAAAATTATCAAAACAGAAGCTCTTGTGCTAAAACTGTGATTTGTATTAATTTGGGAATTATTTCATTCTCACAGTGATGAAGCAACAAGAGTTGAATCCTGCTCTGAGGCTCCTCGTGCCCACTTCACCCTTCTCTTTTGTGAACAACAGCAGAAACAATAGACTGGCTTTCCTCAAAATGTAGAACAAATGTGGCCCTTTATGAAGGCACAGCCAGGAAAGGGTTCTCCATGAAGACCAATGTGACAGAAGCAAACATTGTACCCAGACAAAGAAATGGGTGTATATAGTCTGCACACGGCCCATGAGGTCACCTCTCCAGGCTCTTCAGCACCAGCAGAGCCCCAGGAGAATACTGGGTGCAGTTGTGAGTACCAGGCTTCAAGGTAGGCTGACAGGGAGATGCTTAGGGGTAAATACCACAGACAGACTCTGTCGAGACTTTGTGCACTGTCCTGGAAGAGAAGAGGTAAATGCTGCTGTGACAGAACAAGCTTCAGTGTAGTTTTTTTCCACACAGAGTAAGCATTAGTTTGCAGGACAGAGTGATTAGCTTTCCTTAAAGCAAGTGGTAGAATAGCGTGAGTAAGGACTTCAGCATCTGCCCACAGTTTGCAATATTCCCTAAATAAATATTGATAAACAAGGACTACTAATTTCATTTACAATGCCAGTCTGTGGTTGCTACAACTCTGAAGGTTGTGCACAGCAAATGGTTGTGGCACCACTAATGTGGTCCCTAATTTAAAGAGGGCACTGCAGAGTTCCCAATGTTCTTCAGCACTCTAAATGTGTAGCTAATAACTGACAGCATAAACAACTTACTTATGCATGATTTGTGCTCATTCTAGCTTAGACATCAATGCTCCCTCTCAAGTAAACTGAACAGAACGGTAATGTCCCTTCTGAAATGTCAGCTTGCTGGGGATGTGCAGCTAGTGATAAACGCTGCAGATTTTCTTAAATCAGAACTTCTCTGGGTTTATTGCTTCATTTAATTGAATTTTCCTTTCTCCTCTCTTTTTTCAAACACAGCTCTTGTAAACGAAACAGTTCAGTCTCGAGCACACCATGTACCATTTTCAAAATTCATTGGCACAACACAAACGTAACTGAAAGCAGAAGCAACTCATTTTTTTAGGAAGCAATTCCCCTTAGAGTCTATATTGCTTATTACTCACTCTCCTGTTTGTTATCAGGTGTTGCATGGCAGGTGGTTTAGAGGAAAAAAAGGTGAAAGTACACAAAAAATATCTTGGCCACATCCTCCAGGGATATACATTGTCATCGTACCATTTGCAGGCTCTAGAGACAGGCTTTACCAAACAAAAGTGTTCTTTTTTTTCTAATATGATCCTGCTGCACAGACTAGAGATTTATTTCTTCCGTATAGCACTATGCCCTTGATTAACCTCATTCGTGGTATCTATTTCAGTGAAAGAGCTAATACCAACACTGACTTCAAAGTGTTGCTAAGTGTGGTATCTGCCCGTTCATGTATCATTTGCTTCTCTCAAGCCATTTTCTGTCAGCAGAGAGTAAGCAAGATGTATGCTCTGGGTGAATCCCACATCATCATTAGCAGAAAATTATGCCAAACTGCTGTAAAGTAATTATGCAGCTACGAGGTGAGCTGGGAGGAAGACAGTGATTAAAAACTTACCTCAGAGTCAGCCCACATTGCATAATGTTTTGTTCAGAGGCTTTTTCAATCTATTTTCAAGCTGCTAGCCAGTGCCATAGGCTGAACAGAACCTTCGTTCAGGCTTTGAGAAGTATGCTCAGATAAGCTTGGCCCTTTTTCGTCTCAAATGCATTTTATTTCGATATCATATAGTACAATATAGGATAACAGTAAATCTTACTGGATAGCTAGAGGCTACTCTTGCATTGCTAAGCTGTTCTCACTGAAATCTTTCACAGGTTCTTGCAGAGGTGCTGCAGTTACAATGATCCATTGTGGGTGCACCGAGACGTGGCTATCTGTCATAGAAAGGATGTGAAAAGTGGGAAGGTTTAGAAATGATGGGATCTGAATTACCTCAATAAAACTGCCTGAGTGAGAGACCTTGGAGCAACGACTGAGGAAGCAATAGCAACACTGTACTCTGTATGTTCCCTTCAACACTGGCAAGCTTCATCTTTGACATTCCTGTGAGAAATACTTACATGTTGTGAATGGTAATTTTGAAGCACTGAGATATTATCACTCATAACTAACTTTATTAATCCTTTTCCAGAATGGAGCAGCACACCTCTCAGATCCAGAGAAGATGCACTCCTTGTCCAGAGGGACTTACCATCAGGACATCAAAGATAACTGTGACAGATGAAACCATGTGAGGCAAATGATCAGTGGGTTCCATAGTTTTATTTTGCATTTAGCTTTCCTTTTCCCTGCATCTCCTAGCCTCAAGCTTCCCCTGCTCAGCTTTCTCCCTTTACTCCATTGCTTCCTTCCCATTCCTCCCCTTCTGCTCAGTGTTCCCAAGAGCCAGTGCTGAGTGAAGTGGATAGCCAAAGGTGCTCAATACAGACAAAATGCTGAAGGACTGTATGCTGGGAAGCAAACCAGTACCCTTCAGGATGTCCTTTAGGATGGTCCTTTAGCAGTTTTTACTCTATTTAAGCCTATTCCTGTTGGTGAGGAGTCTAATGGAATAATCCTAATAAGGAAATGAGTTTTCTAATATTGACCCTAAACATGACACTGAAAACAGGATGCTTAATGATCAAATACTGCCTTCAGTGATGTGGGTAGCTGTTTGGTAACTGCAAATATTGTATTTTCCTTCAACACACTTCCATTCTCTGTGTACAGTTACCCACATAAACAACTCCCCTTTTCTGAGGCCCAGTTCTTCTGAAAACAGGCAGAATGTTTTCACCAATGTAAATGGGAATGGGATCAGGGCACAGATAGCACTGTTTGTATGCACGACTGACTTCAAAGTAATCCACCCATGCAGTGTAGAGTCTGGCACTATTTGATGTCCTCTACTCCCAGCCAGATAGGAAACACAAGTCTGACTGGTCTCTGCTGACTTAGCACTGCCTACATATTGTCATCTGGGTCAGGTGCACCAAACCCAGGAGCTGGTGTTTCACATATTGAATCCCTACAAAAGCTACCCTGCAGTCACATGAGGGTTCATCTGACCCCATGTTGTCCATGCCTTGGAATTCTACTCTAGTTTTATTGTTAAAAAATGTAAGGAAGGTTTTTTCAAAGAGTTGTGAAAGACTGTCTACAAGGGCACATAGTGACAGGACAAGGGAGAAAACTGAGAGTAGGTTTAGATTAGATATTAGGAAAAAAATCTTTACTGTGAAGGTGATGAGGTACCGGAACAGGTTTCCAGAGAAGTTGTGATTGTCCCACCCCTGAAAGCATTCAAGGCTAGACTGGACAGAGCTCTGAGCAACCTGGTCTAGTGGGAGGTGTCCCTGTCCACAGCAGGGGGGTTGGAATTAGAGGATCTTTAAGGTCCCTTCCAACACAGGCCATTCTTTGATTCTGTGATTTAATGAGAGCTGGGCTGCTAAACACAGACTGCACCTTTGGAAAATCTGCTCTTTGTCACAACTTTTAATTTCTACAAATTTTAGAGTTTTGGAAGTTTTTATTTCCAGGTCATATATTCTGTGACTTTGTTAAGTGAAAAACACTTCTAGTACCAGATGTTTCTTAGCCTCAAAGCTACATATGTCCCACATGCTTTTTGACCTGGTCTTACAGAGGCTGTGAAAGCTCACTTTTTTGTTTCTCAATAAATGAAAACTTTCATGCACTGATCATTGTTCCATCCAAAGGCACACTACATATCAGCAAACAAAAGTAATTTTACAGAGAAACTTTAGCATATGGTTTGAAAGAAAACCCATCAAGAATTGACAATGATAGATGATCTCCCCAGCGACATTCAGGAATAATGCAGTTTCACATTTACATCAGGGACAAAAAGCAACGGACATATTTAAATAATCATTAAAAATTAAATGCCTGACACACGGCAGGTTTCAACCCTGTTCTGTCACACATCTTCTGGAAATCTTTTCTGGATATTATCTGAGGCCTTCTCATTTGCGTTGTTCATGAACAAAAGCTTTGTAATGGAGGTTCAAGTGTATGTATTATCAGCACAAGGTTCTCTCCAGGGAAATTAAGTGAAAGGATGTTTTTCTTGTCTTCATGTTTGACATTCAGGAGTAGTGACGAGATAAGGTAGGCACAGGAGTCTCTCAGAAAACGACCAGATAGCAATCGCAGCATTTCATAAGGATGTGAACCGTTCATCATCTGCTGGAAAGACACCATTAATGTGGCCTGCTTTTAAATCCAGCACTTCACAAGGCAGCCCATTTTCTAATGTTACTGTCACTTCAACTTTCTCTTCTAAATTTTCTCTCTCTGTTGACTCTTTATTCTTTCTAAAAACAAGAAAGAAAAAATCATCTTATTCTGTTGACCCGCATCACTCATCACGATTCCACAGACAGAAAACTGCATGTTTAGTCAGAAGTTTGTGGTAGCTAAAAGGCATAATCTTGTGTACATCTTTGCTGTTGTAAATACACCATGGAAGATGGGAGGCCCAGATTGGAAGCCCTGGTTTAGTGGTTTGACCTCAGGATTGGGAAAGAGAAAACCCAAAGTAAACATGTTGTAAGTATGTTTTAAATATTATTTCACCTTCTTATTCTGTAAAGTGACTGGAGGATGCAGAAGGAAAAGCTGGTGCAAAACAAAAATCAAAAAAATCCCTAAATTTGTTTTTATTTTACATCAGGAAGGAATGGACTAAACATCTAATCTGACCCTGTAATGTATGTCATAGATCTCACCTCATGATGTGTACAAATTAAAGTATACATTTTAGAAACAGATCAGCTTCAGACTAACTATAGTCTCCAAATGTGTAGGCTTGGGTGCCCTCACACTCCAGGATTATCTTCTCCAGAAGTTAGGCACTCTTAATGCTGCAAATCTTTTTTTTCTTCAAACTTCATTAACATCCACATTCCTACCCAATATTTTATACTTTTATTTTCTAGATCAAACAATTGCACAGCTTTCACTTTTTCAGGCTTCACTTCTCCCAGAAAACATATTAAAATAGTTGCTGAATAAAATTATCTAAATTAAAAAAAAATCTAAAACAGAAAATATAAAAATACAACCATAAGAAGATGTAATAGAGAAATATCAGTCAATATGTCACAACATTCCTTTAATTCCAGATTTATTTTGACCTTGAGAACCACTAGTTCATAGTTGAAAAACCTGATGTACTTTTCAGCCTGCGGCATCAGCGGTTTCAGAGGATAAGAAACTCAAAGGTCAGCTGCACTACTTCTTCCTATCCCACAGCATGTACTGTAACAATCTGACTCAGGACAATCATAAAAATCTGACTCAGTGTAACTGCTAATAACAGTGATATTATCAATAATAAAATTTTATTGGCCTTTGGAAGATTCTTGGTATTACAGACTTGCTAAAATAAACCTGGGGTGTAGTAGCGGAAACCTCTGACCTCTGGCTGCTGTATCTGCTCTTACACTGATAAAAGGAATGTTCTTGAATACAAAACTGTGGGGACAGAACATAAAAGTTCCTAAAAAGCAGGTTCAAAAGAAATGAGAGGAGTAGAAGATGTGTGGAACTCATTGCCAGAGGAATTAAGAGAAGTAGAAAATTTCTATGAATCCAAGAGGAGACTCAGCAAGAAGTTAAGGGAAGAGAAAACATTGCAGGTAACTCAATACATGAAGACCAAATCCAGCTCAGGAAGGCAGCTGCAAGTTAGATGCTGGAAAACTAATAGAGGGAAAGATTGTGTGCTTACTCTTTTTTCACTCTTCCCAAGGCAAATGTTTATGGCCTCTGCTGCAGATGGGATTTTGTGGGGGTAGGTGTAGACTTCAGGCTAGTTCAGGATAGACAGCAGAGGATGGTCCTGCCCTGGGCACGTGGCAATTCTATTACTGGAGAGGGAGGTGTCCTATCGCTGCAATGGCAGGAGAACAAACACAAGGCTGGGAGACAGAGTGTCTGATCCAGCCCACTGGAGAGACAAGGGCTACAGTCACGTGGAGCTCTTCAATCTGCAGGAAGCTGCACTTGCAATTTTACATGTTGGCAGTGATGCACAGTGAAGACCTAATTAAGTTCCAGAAATGACACATGAGTTTAACTCAATATCCTTTACAGGCCAACCATGCTTCCCTGCTACCCTGAGCATAAACAGCCTGAAGCACCTACTTTTGAGCTTATCTGAACTGAGGTATTTAACTGCTACTCTAAAGGCCTTTAAAGATAAAATGCCAGATTTATGAGAAGTCACTACCATCCTTGGGGCCAGCTGTCCAACACAGAGCACCAGGCAACAGAGTTCCCATTATGTAAGCTCTGGTTGAGTTTCCAAGAAAACTAATTACTGGACATGCTCAAGTCTTTGACAACCTGATCACTTACTTCAGTGTCTGAAAAAGAGATCAGCACTTCTGAAATTCTTTTCTCCCTGTTTGGCTCTTTTTCTCAGGAAACCAAATCACCCAGACCATCCTTTTTTACCACTCCAGTCTTTGCAGCAGTAGATGGAAGAAATACGTGCTCACCCTCTCTCTCATTCCACTGTCCCTGCTTGCAGATGTTATTGATGTGAAAGGAGGGTTAGAGTTCAGCCACAGACAAATCTGCTCTGAGGAAAGGTTATATATACAGGTAGAGTAGGGAAACAGAGGGAGAAGTGAAAAGAAGCGTAACAACTAAAAGGACAAGAGCATGAGACAGAGAGGGTGCCAAGTGACCTCAGGCAGGCAGCAACGAGCCTGGTGATATGCCATGTAATTTACACCACACTGAGGGGAAGTGCTCAAATTCTGCTGAGTTATTTTGAAAACACAGGGAGGAAACTTTGTCTTTCAGCATGATATGAAGCATAAATTATTATTTTAGCTAGAAAAATCATAGTTATTTAGCATAGTTTATTTATATCACACTTATTTGAAATGTTCAAAGAATCCCTTTAAGTCAGGCACTATAAGGACACACAGAGCCATGATATGACATGGAGGGCAGGTATAGGCTTCAGGTAGCAACATTATTCTCTGTTTTTTCAGAAGAGGTTTCCTATGTTCAAGGCATGAAATAACTCAGTCCATACAACGTGGTTGTGACAGGGCTAAAACTATCCATATACTCCAAGGCCCTGCCCAGACTCTTTCCCCAGCAGCATCTTTCATCTATTCTTTTTTGAATTTTGGGGCTTTTTGAAAATGGAAGGAGATTTTGGAAGTTCATGCAACTCCTGTGAATGCAATACATAACTGAAGGGATTCTGGCTACACTACTAAAGGTTGTCTATGAGAAGCGCTTAACCTTCACAATAAGTGTTGTTTTTCTGAGGTCTTTTAACGTTCTTCAAGGTAATAAGGAGGCAGAAAGCAAAAGTCTCTGCAACACACAACTTTTCGTATATTAATCCTTTGTTCTGATATATTTGAGGATGCAATCTATCATACAGTCAATGATTTTAACATTATCTAGTTGTCATCAGAAATTTACCTTTTCAGTTCTTCTGCTGTTCCTGTATGAATCTATTGTTGAAGACATAATTTTGTGTTAACCTAACCTCTGTGGCAGCCAAAAGCATGGCAGAAGTTGAACTTCTCAACTCAGCTGAGAAATTTCTATTCCTTATGCCCCACTCAGAGCCAACAGAGATGGCAGGATCAAAACTCCACCTACTCTGTGTTGCTCCAACATGCTCACACTAAAGAAGCATGAATAGCCTTCTCTTTTTCACCAGTGCCACCACAGGGCACAAACTGAGAGGAAAAGAGATTCTCTCTCTCCTACCCAGACAGCAAATACCTAAACTCATGGGGAGATCTGCCCATGAACCTGTGAAGGGCTGGGTGCTTCGGATTCATCGAGTCATGAATGGTAGGTGAGACCCACTGACTGTTCCGTTGAGCAGGCCCTCTTTGGCCATACATTAACCATTATTGTGTTCTCTACTGGGTCTTCTCAAGCTGCAGCAGCAAAAATTTTTTTAGGCCTGCCAACTTTTGGCACTAGTGCCCTGGAAGGAGCTCAGTCACTGCCAGCCCTCTCCCTCCTGGTAACTACGTGGATAGACTGTGAGAGGAGGCTCCCTGTGGCACAACAGACCTTTGGAAGAATCACATCAAATGTCTTTGTAAAGCTCATCTCTAGTTAGGTGGCCTCCAGGATCATATTCTGACACTCCCCATTTCCTCATTACATCCCAGCATTACTAAGGCATCTATACTTCACAGTTAAAAATTTTAACCCCTCTCCTCAGAAAAGGACTGTGTTGTCTTTACCTAGGAAGGGAAGGGGGCACAGCTACAATTTCTCTGAGGCTGCTCTGAAACACAAAACCAGCTCAGTTGACCTAACTAGCCAATATTCCATTAAAATAGAAGAAAGGCTAAGCCGCTTACTTCTTGTGTTTCTGAATCCCTGAAACAATGAGGAAAACAATCCCAGCCACAATGAGACAAAGAACAACACCAAATACAATAAGCCAGACAGGCGTAGAGGGTTCAACGGGAGGTGATAAGGTTGAGGTTATCTTCAGGAACTGCAGTGTTTTGTCACTCAGTAGAAAGGCACTGTTGATTCTGTTCCGGTTCATCCTTCATTTAAAAAAAAAAAAAAAAAAGACTATCACAACTCTTTATAAAGATATTGGATAAGTTAAAGACACAGAAGAAAATAAAAGAATTTTTCATTAATGTGCTGCAAGTCTGGCAGGACTGAATTTGGTCCAGCATGATGAGTTAAAGGCTGTGGATGTTGTCTACCTTTAGTGGGGGTTGGCCACTTCTACCAGGCAACTAGCAATAGGACAAGAGGACACAGCCTCAAGCTGTACCAAGGGAGGTTCAGGGTGAATAACAGGAAGAATTTCTTCACTGGAAGGGTGGTTAAGCACTGGAATGGGCTGCCCAGGGAGGTGGTGGAGTCACCGTCCCTGGAGGTGTTTAAAAAATGACCGGACATGGCACTTAGTTCCCTGGTCTAGTTGATAAGGTGGTGATCAGTCAAAGGTTGAACTTTATGATCTTGGAGGTCTTTTCCAACCTAACTGATTCTGTGATTCTATGATTTTATGATTCTGTGATGTTGGTAGGATTACACAGACCTTCACTTTAACATAGACCTCGTCAGTAATCCATAAACACCCACCCACTTCCAACATTTTGAACACCAGATTGTCATATGTATTAATCTGAAAAACTAGGGAATACAGATGATATCTGAAGTACAGAATTATTTCTGGTTTGGACCATGTGCTGAAGACATAGCAGGCTGCAATCGGTAAGGTTGTCTCCCTTGTCTTGCTCATGCAGCATTCAAGATTAGAATGGGAGTGGCAGATATACCCTGCAATGCTCAGGGGATTTACTTATAGAGCCCCTTGGTCTCTCAAACTGAACCATCCTGCATGTTATGGGCCAGTACATCTGCCCCTGCTGCTGTAGATTTTCTTAGATTCATGAGGGACAGGATGCAGCTTGGTCCAAAAGAATCCACTTCTATTATCAAGATGTCCTTCTTCTCTGCAGGATGCAGCTAAAGGGATTTGTATTTTGCACATTTTTCCCATTATGAGAAACTGTAAGTCTGAGAAATACACTTTTTCATGAGTAGTACAATTGCTACCCTGTAATGGGATATCTTCACGCCTTTTCACTACCTGTAATCATTTGCAGGTATTTCTGGATCTGAATCTAAGCAGCCTTAAGAGACTTCAGCAGTATCTTCCATTAGCTGTTTCGAAATATTAAAGATTTTTGAGAAAATGTGTTACACGTATTGGTCTTGAGAAATTCTTTTTGATTGCAGTTGTATGAATTAAGGCAGCTCTTTTTTGTATAAAATTAAATTTATTTACCATACAGAAAGTATTTCCTAAGAAAATATGTATGGGAAATACAGGTAAGATTTTTCAAAGTTCTTTTCCTGGAAATCATAATGTCTGGCTGTCCCTTAGACAGGAAGTTCTTAGCCTTAATGGAAAGCCAACATTCTTGGAGAGGACTGAAAGCCATGGCATGTTATAAGACTCATTGTACGGTAAGCTGTGTGTCATTTAGAAAAGATTTCCATCCTTACTGATATGAAAGGGTCATTGTGAACAGATGAAATAAGCATTGTTCACCCTCATCTAATGGCTGGAGATTCAGAATTATATACACATGCAGGCACCTACAAGTGCATTTCATGTTTGTGTATGCATATCTTGTGTATATTTATGTAAGATCTTGACTCTCATAAAGAGCTCTGAAATGGTTTACCATTCTCTTTATTCTTACTTTGTAGAGAATATCATACAAAAAAATTCTGGTTCATGGCTAGTGTTGTTACGAGTTACTATAGTATGAAGAATTAGAGTAAAGGTTTAGTGTGGAAGCCTGCAATCAGAAGCAATTGAACAAAAAGTATTTTAGTTTTATAGACCATTTTATTTCTTGTTTCTAAATTAGATAGGAATTAAAACTTTTCATAAATAGCATATTGTTTATCGAGTGACAGACAACAGTTAAAAAAACAAACAATAATAGCATCCAATTTCTGTGCCAAACAGGGCACATAAAAGACTTAAATAAATCAGCTTATGCTACTGAATGTATCAAAGAATAACAGAAATGCAAAACCCCTGCATTCCAGCACTCTTACAGAGAGCTTCAGTGAATAAATAATCTGCTTTCTCCACTAATGCTATGAAGCTATTGTTTGGTGTCTCTGTAGGAAATAGTTTAATCTGCTCATAAGCTTAAATTAATCTTTCCAAAAGAAGGCATACTCATTCATCAGGAATTAGGCATTACACCTCCACAGAGATAACATGAATTTTCAAGACAGTGCACAGAATGCCTTAAAACAAAGAGGTCCATTTTCCACCCCATGCTTGAGAAACGTACATGAGTTATGCTGCTTGTGGGACTCATCCCTATAAACCCCTTGTGAAGGTTTGGTGGACAACTGAAGTCAGACTACCTACTTTTTCTTTTCCCTCATCAGTTCCACATTCTTGCTTTTATTTGCTATAGAGTGTGATTTTTAGTAGAAATCAAACCGATTTGTACCACACAGTACTTTGTACAAGCAATGCTCAGCTATGATATTGACTGGCATTCCAGAACCAGCTGGTATGAAAAGAATGTGAGCATAAGATTGTTTAAGCCAGGCTGGGACACAGCCAGCTCTGCTAGGAGTTCACACGAGCTCTTCTCATGTGAAAGCTCAACTTCTAAATTAAATCAGTTGAACTGTTAGTGAGAAGCACTGAAAGGGAGCCTACAGTCATTAGTCCAGGTATAGATGTGCATGTAGCATGAAGTGAAAGTTAAATTACATTAATTCCACCCAGAAAGTGTGTAATTCCATCATCTGAGGGAGAAGGCTCCCTTGCTGGGAAGTGTAGCAGTTGGATGAGAGCACTGTATATGCCACACACCGAAGGGTAAATCACTGGTAGGGTTCTGAAAAGGGGCTAAATTTCTTCTGAGCCTCCAGCATTGACAGAGACTCTTTCCAAAGTTATAATCCCAAGGCTCACATGCTCTGCGTTCTGTGGGACTGTTAAAAATTATCTGATCTTACATTCATGAAAGAGTACTGACCCCTTGGTGTTTTAACTACTTGGATTAATTCATCCTTAAAGAGGAAGTGTGCTCATTCATACAAGGCCTAGAGAGAGAAAGCATCCTCAGTAAGCAAGGAAGAAAAGGTTGCAGAAGCAGTGATTGTACCTGATGGCTGCCTCTACCACACTTCCAGGAACAGTTGTCACATTTTTGGAAGAATCTGTGACCACAAACCAAAATGACACCCGATCTGTCACATTGCAGAGCAGCACATTGGAAATTCTGCAGGTATTAAAAAAAAAAAAATAAATCATTAAAGATGCATGAAAGGAATTATTGAAGTATTTTAGATTTTCTTAAAATATTGCTCTCATCTAAGTCCCCTTGGAAATCTCATTTTTAAAAAAGGTAACAGTTAATGCTCAAGAAAGAAATATCACTCACAGCATTTCCCATTTCCCAATATGACCAAAAAAATTAAGCTTATTAAGACCAAACGAGTCTTCAAATAAATTTTTGAATCTATTACAAACTTGTATGGTCTTGGACATACATTTAGCGTAATCAAATGGAAAAATACATATTTGAATATTAATCATCAGGGCTGTGACAAAGACCATATAATGAGGCAAATGCACTGGTGGACTAGAAATATTGGTTTTGACAGCAAATACCTGAGCAACCAGGCATTGGAAATTCCCTACATGATTGTCAAGTGAGTGCAGTTCTTCTACAAGATACATTTTGTTGGAAGGAAGATTAGTGGAATTGATGATGGGTTTTTCAACATCTTTGTTCACAGAGCCAGGCAGAGTGGAAGGAACAAGCTAAATTTAGTCATTCTACTGGCCTACGCCTTTTATCTTATGCTGCAAAAAATTACGCATGTTATATATTTTAGAGGAAGATTGCTCAGCTTTATGTGAAGTTATTAGTGGAAGGGCATAGGCACAGAGCTTCTCATGGCATACGACGTAAACGGTGTGCGAAAAGCCTTTTTTCAGATTCTTACAAACGGGGTTTCTGACGCTAACACTAGTAAGTGGCGGAACTACCAGAAAATCCTCCTGGAATGACATCACCCCGAGTATTTAAGCTCAGGAAGCGAAGGCTCAGACGCGCCGGGGTCACGGCCGTGCCTGAGGGCCGCCACTGACCCCGCCCGCCCCCGCGCCCTGCTGGGCAGCGCCACCTGCCGGCCGGCGGCGGGAACGGGGAGCGGGCGTGAGGGATGGATGTGGCTTGGGCTGGAGGGGATCTTGGAGGTCATCTAGTTCCAACCCCTCTGCGTGCACAGGGAAACCCTTCACTAAACCAGGATGCTCAAAGCCACATCCAGCCCGGCCGTGAACACTTCCAGGGACAAGGCATGCACGATTTCTCTTGGACTACATGATGCTGTATCTCACCATCCTCATTGTAAAAAATTTGTAATATCTAATCTAAATCTACCCCTTTACAGTTTATAACTGTTACCCCTTGTCCTGTCACTACAGACCTTAGTAAAAAGTCCCTCAATCTCTTTCTTGTAGGCTCCCTTCAGGTACTGGAAGGTGCTACAAAGTCACCCCAGGGCTTTCTCTTCTCCAGGCTGAACAAAATACTCTCAGCTTTTCCTCATAGGAGAGGTGCTCCATCCCACTAACCATCTTGTTGGCCCTACTCTGGACTCACTCAAACAGGTCGATGTCTCTCCTGTGTTCAGGACCCCACAGCTGGATGCAGTACTCAAGGTGGGGTGTCACCAGAGCAGAGCAGAGGTGCAAAATTCCCTCCCTCAACTTGCTGGTCGCACCTCTTTTGATGCAGCCCAGGATATGGTTGGCCTTCTGAGCTGCAAGTGCATATTCCAGAGAGATATGCAATAAAATGGAAAGCAGTGATTTTGCAGAGTTGAAATATTCACTTTTACCTCTCTGGAACTATATCAATTTGGCAAATACAAAGAATTTTTACGGATAAAACGGGAAAGCCATCCTCTGGAATTTGAAAAGATGTTCACGTGAGTTTGCTGGCAACAGTCAGAAGATAAAAGCAGATTTATTCTTCACAAAACAAAAGCAAAGCACAAAATATACAGGAGGGGAGGGGAAAAGCGCTTACTTTTGGCTGGTGGCTGGCAAACTTTTGTTGACTTCACAGAATATCTAAAACTGTATCTACAGAGGAAATTTACAATCAGGGGAATTTATAACAGTAGGACCCAAAACTTTATGCCATAGTTCCTAAAGCTGCAGTTACTGTGGCACAATCAAATACTGGGCCGGGTGGAAAATTTGAGGGTGTGTTGCCCTACAGACGTTCTTGAAATGGCATCAGTAAGGAAAGTTTGATCCCCAAAGAGAAAGATAAATTTGGTAGAGAAGGATTGGCAGAATGCCCTGTCTTTCTCACTCTCTTTCAGAGACTCTTCAGCCTGGGGTCTTTCCTCAGTGCCAAGGCTTTCAGAATGAGACAGGGCAGTCAGTCACCAGAGGGGTAGCATCTCTCTCTCTCTAGAACGAACAGCACTGAATCAATTGGGCAGCAGGGATTGCACTAGGATACGTAAATTTTGCTGCCTTTCTGCTCCCTGTTGTGTCTAAAATCCTTGCTCAATTACAAGCATCCAAAACTTGGCTTCACTGCCGCCACTTTTTCATCAGCGGAATCTGAATGCTGTAAATCCTTCCAGGCCCCAAAAAGAATAACACAGCTCACAAGAAATTCAAAGGAGATTGAGTAAACAGCAAAACAGACTGGTTCAACAAGCACCAATGTGGCAATGTCTGTGCAGCAGGTGCACCTTTTTTTTTCTCCTGCAGTATTTGCTTGCAGGTCTGATTCACAACACAGAGAAGCATTGCAACTGTGCAGTCACACCGTACAGATCTGAGAAACATGGCTTCTTCATGTACTAATTCACTGTATTTGTAAACATATATGTAGACATCTTTTTTTTTCCTTAGCAGTTGATAGACTTTTTACATGGAGATTACGGGAGACTGTTATCATCAAAATGACAAGATCCTGGTTTGGTCTTATGGCACCATGGCAAAAGTCCAAAATTGCATTTCCTTTAATATACGCAAGTGAACACCAGTGAGTAGAGTAGAGGAAATCCTGGCAGTTCCTTGCACTAAAACACCACCATTGTTCCTTATGGAGATTTAAAGGAATGTTTAGGGGTAAGAAAGAGCTACTAAAGAGCCAAAGGGAGCCAGGTGCCTACAGTGGCCATTAGCTCATGAAAGAACCACAGTCCTATGGCTTGAGTGCCTATCTCCAGCTCTCTCAAAAGCATCACAGCTCTTCCAACCCAGGGCTGTGCAGCTACTTCTGCAAACGAATGTTATTTTCTTCCCTTTCATGAGCAGCAGCCACAGGATCACCTTGATGTAACAGCTTTAACTCTAGCAGCTTATTTTGTTGTTATAAATGGTCACAATATTTTTAGTATCAAAAATAGATGGTTTCAGGAAGATGGATAATGGTGATGAATTTTTTGCTGGTCACTTTGGAAGAAAACTGCAGGCTTTTTTAATCTATAAATGAGAGGAAGATGTACCAAAAGTAGATTCTGTTACTTGAATGAAAGCAAATGCCATTACATTCTTTCTGCTCTAAAGATTAACTAGTCTCACACCCAAAAGAGATGCATATTATTTCAAATGAGTCACAGATTAGAGAAACACAGACTACAGACAATAATTTTTTAACACTGAGAGATCAAAGGTTGGCTGACGTAGTTCATGACTATATGTATTAAGAATCAATTGAAAGCCCATACGTAAAAGGAAATAAAGGGGGTTTAATTCTCCACTGAAAAAGAAGTATTTATTTGATCTGTATTAATAGTTTCTGAGTTATTTGATGGATCGTGTCTTTCTTCTGTTTCACGCAAACTTGAAAATTTGACAAGCCTTTCAAACATTAAACACTGCTCCATGATTTATTAGATTTCAGTTTAGAAATTAACTTTAGAGAACTCGTGGTGTAACATGCCATTCTGTCCATTCTGCATTGGGTCACTTAGTGGTTACACAAGGGCAACAACAGCATCAACTGCTGTTTGTGGCAACACATTCAAATGTTTGTCATCACCAGTTGGCTTTTATCCAGCTTCAGAAGCCTCACAAAATATCAAATACCTTTGAATATCAAAAACTATGGGACAGACTGCAACAATGGTTATCCTGATCCACCAGACAAATTATTTTGGGGCCTGATCCAGCTTGCTGAAGTTAATGGCAGTTGGTCTCATATGGGATATAGTCGTGGCTGTGAGTTACTTGAGGGCTGTGGGTGTGTTAGAAATTAAGGGGATATTAAAGAGGAAGTTTGTCACATCCTGGCTATGTGCATAATGTATATCCTGGCAGAACCAGTATTTAGTTATGTAAAATAATGGTGAATTTTTCAAAATCTTCAATTAAACAGATGCAAAATTTGGGTAAGTTTAAATGCTACCAGAATGTAGTCACAGGCAATTTGTTCTTTTATGACAGAATAATTGGTCACTGGTCTTTTACGGCTCCTGAAGAAAATATGTTGGCATTTGCCTGCAAAAGCTCCTGCAGTGAAATGCAATTTATTTGCCAGTAGTGTAATGTAATTTATTTGCCACAAGCTCCTGCTTCTGCCTCCCTCTTCACCACACTGCAAGCCCCTGCCGCTATCCTCACCAGCTATGCCAGAGTGCCATTCCTGTGCACAGCATGCTGCTGTATCCTGAGTGCCCCCACACCTCCATGCCCACTGCAGAGGGGATGGAGAGGGACTGCACTCCTGCCGTCCAGCTGTCAGCCACACGGGCGGGGAAAGGGGGGTGTTATTTCCAGCACATCTAACAGGATGGAGGCTTTCACAGCCTTCCTGCTCCCATGTAACAGGCGGATTATTTGAGGTGTATTGGGAGATTCATCTGGCCTCTCTGTCCCTGAACGGGGGCTCTGAGGTCCCTTGGGATTTGGGAAAGATCTGTGAATAGGATACTCCTCAATCTGTTGCCTAGATTGTACCAGATCTCAGAGCTGCACAAATGCCCTTCAGTTGACATGCTGTCTACACTGCTGACTGTAAAGGCATCTCTAAGTCCTAGATGAGTTATCAGTTATACCTCCAAGGTACACCTCAACAAGTTATACCCCATGAGGAAGTCAATGCCATCTTAAAAAGAGCTAAAGATGCCCAAAGCTGGCTTCTTCTGAACTGAAGACTTACTGACTTCTTTTCCAAACAACTTAGTAGCAGGAAATTATTTATGTGTGCAAGACCACCTCCAAACTGGAGTAACACTGACTCATCATATTTGTCCATAGGAAAAACTGTCTGGGTGGAAAATTGAATTAAGTGAGTATTCTATGATTTTCCAGAGTGGGTACAGATAACTGCCATTAAAAATTTAACTCCTTTCATACCGGCTTGATTTTTTCCCATTCCTGCACCAACCCTTCTAGTATTATTTGAGTCTGCAGAAAACCACGGTGCTTGAAGAAGAATAAGATCACTGGCTTCTGACACAGGTTTTTTGCTTTGTGAAAGTACCATGACTTTGAAAGAAGAGAATAATTTAAAAAAAGGACCCAGGACTAAAGTAAGTATACAAAAGCAAATCTTTATGGATCAGATGCTGGATGAAAATGCTGCTAATTTGAAAACCTGAGAAAAAGCCCTACAGAACAATTTGTAATTAGCTTGTATCTTGAACTAATTTTTTAAAGTGTTAATTTAATTGGTTTAGTAGCACACTTGGCTGTTTTTGTTAAGCTTGGTGGAATGGCTCTCTTGCTCAAAGGAGACCACTTCTGAGGAATTAAAATGAAACAGCAAGGAATCAAATATTCCTGTTACATGGAGGGGGAGATCCCCTTCCATTTAACAGAAGTGCAGCAGCCACAATAATCATCATGTGACTAAAGTTAACTAATATCTTTGCAAATGTGCAGCATCTTTCATCTGATGCAATGACAGCCTGAAGGAGTTTTATTTTTAAGTAAATTGAGAACCTTATCCTCATTAGCCTACCAGAACCCCAAGTCTTTTGTTTCAGACTGAAAAACGATGAAAAACACTAATGGAAATGCACTTACAAGGTCTTTCATTTAAGAAAGATAAGAACACACTGAAAATACACCTAGCTAAATGGTCCGTCTAATCTGGTATCTAATTTCATAGAGTAGCAAGGATCAGAAGCCTGAGAAGAATATTCAATACTTCAGGGTAGATTTAATCCCAAAATCAATTAAAGGCTGATTTATATCTGAACTGCAACATCTGAAACTTCTTGATGCCAGGTAACTCAACCGCTGTGATCCTGGGGATAGAAACACCCGGCAGAGCACAGCACTGGCAGAGCTGTCCACCTTCTGGGTCTCTGAGTCAGCTCATCTTCAGCATCCTACTGAAGCTGAGCTCTAAGATAGTGTGCACCAAAGCTGCTTAGTCAAAGATCTGCACTGTCTCTCTTCACCTTCCAACATGTCCCTTCGCCTCCTCTAAGTACGGTCTCCAGAAGGTGTCAAATTTTACTGCCGGGTTCTTCTTAAAGTGAATAGGCACCATCCCACTGAGATCCACAGCTGTGTCATTTCACATCAACTGGGATACTGGTTCAAAGATTGAACATTGCTTAAGACAGAGAAAGTGTGATGTTTAGCATATATCGGGGTGTCAAAGAAATATACTGCAACAGTCTGCTTTTAGAATCTCTGTAATGATTTCTACAGTTCAGCACAGCAGAGAACAGTCACTACATGCAGCATTGTTCATATGCAAAAGGCAAATCTGAATAGATGCTTACTGAGTTGTGCTCTTGCTGGAATATCTTCTCATTGCAAAAGCCACCATTGCTTTGAAGAGGTACTCTTCATTAGCATCCCAGGCATACTGTAAAGCAAAATGGAAAATAATTAGTTTCAGCACCAGTGCTGGCAGTACAGAGAGGCAAAAGAGTCATTGAACTTGAAATGCTGTATCGATCAAGAAAGTTAATAAATTCTCTGGTTGTGCTAAGAAAATAAATGTCCATTATTTAGTATGCACAAAGGACTTTTTCTAGCAGAAAAAAAAAGCACAACATAAACTGTAATATAAATAATATAAACTGTAAAGAATGTTTCCAAAAACTGAATTAATCAAATGTTTCTGAAAGCTGACCAAACCAGAGATGTAAAGTTTCTTGTACCAAAGACTAGGTATATTACTAGAATTCTCCCCACACAGCTGCACCCATGGCCTAGCCTCTTTTGCTGGATAAACTTTGTTAAAGTAGAAGGCTTAAAACCACTCTCAAGGACTATTTGGCTCTGCCTAAGAATAAGTTAAAAAAACCCTAGTGTTGAAGGTAGTCTCTGGGAGTTGGACATCAGGACACCAGGATTTACAATGAGATTGCTGCACGCGGTCCTTGTAACAAGACGACTCAAGTACATTACAAATTGCTACATTGTATATGAGACAAAAGAAAGAAAATAGCATCCTTACTACTTCAATAGGTAAAATACAGGCTCCAAAAACTGGCCTCTGTTGTCTTGATGAAAAATCACGCTTCCGTAATTTAAGTTTTTTGAGACAGCTTCACTGGGTTCCCCTGGGCTTTCACTCACATATGCAATTCTAATGACCTGTAAGAACTGCATCTATTACATTTTTATAACAGGAGCCATGACGGAGGGATACTGATTGAATTCCCCCTTTCACCTTTCAGCAGATTACAAAGATTATTAGTTCCTTGGAATTATATTAATGGAGGCTAGAAACAGCTTTCTTCAGTCAATCAGAACACAAATCTAATCTTTAATTTTCAGCATTAAAAAGTCTGATCTGTAATCGTCCAAACCAAAACCAAATGGTGTGGATACTTAACTCTGTTGACATCATGAACCTACTTTTTTTATGGTCCTTTATTACATTTTCAAAAAACAACAGTGTACTTCAAAAAGCAGTAAACAGCATTGCCAAATCTTAATTCTGGTTTTTAAATTCTGATTTTGGATGCATGGAGCTGCAATCTCTCCACAGAAAAAAAGGGAATCCAACTTTCAGGTATCAGCAGCCCTCATTTTACACTGTCAAACTGTGGACTGGGAACCTAGGCAGGGCCATCATTTAAATGGCAGAAAGTCATACTGATCAGGTTTATCATCCTTAGACAAAGGAAGAGTTGTGAAATGGGCTCTCTGAGATGTGGTAAGACAGGGACAACAAAGCTGAGGCAAGAGACAGCTTGAGCAGCACTAAAATCCAGCTGCAGTGCTGAGAACCTGGGTTCTGACTCACCCCTCTGGTCTTGTGAATGGAGCTGTGATCATACTGTGATAATGCATGCCAGCCTGGGAAATTCAACTGAAAAAAAACCCAGAAACTCTTTGGAAAAAAATTATAAAAGCCTGTACTTTGATCCCACTGCTCTGAAGAAAACGTGACAGTAATGAGAGCAACTATTACTAAAAGAAAAAGAGATCATTTAATAGAGGAATTAATACAGATGGGAGCCATAAAACTATTTATCATCATTTTAAAGACATCTGTATTTAAACCATGAAGCACAATTTGCAGCACTAAAAGGGAAGATCTTTTTTTCTGCATGTGGCACTATTGACTGAATCCCTACATGCCATCTGCAGTCTTTGAGAACAAGTCCAAAAGGACAAAAACAAATCATTTGTTACCCAGTGGATTAAAACAGCTGTAGAGATAATTTAATCAGTTGTCTTGAAAATGGATAATGATGAAGCACACTTCATTTCATGCTTACATGGACACAAATGCAATGCAGCACTACCAAGTACATGTACTTGATATGTTTATGTTTAGTGCAACGCATATATACATGCACAATTTGTCACAATCTAGTATTCCGTTTTCATGAATAATGTGTTTGCCTAGGACTTCTTGAAGTCAGAGTAACAAACAGGGTATCAGAACAAGGAAAATAATTTGCAGTGAGGAATTCAACCCCTAGTTGAAAGAGTAAGCACTTGGAAAAAAGACAGAATAAACAGAAAGCTGCAAGAAATGGGGGGAGGAGACTGGCAGAGAAAGCTCAGAAGAAATCGGGGGTCTGCTTGAGTGAGGAGAAGATGCTGCAGACAACCTTCTGGGCAGAGGGGCAAGAAGCTCCAGGTAAATGGAAATTAGACAGGAAGTAAAGGAGATGGAGATGGCTGTGGGCTCCATATGAACAAGAACTTCTATACATGACTGCATGAAGGAATATGCACAGAGGAGGTAAAATAATGAAGAGGAAAAGTAAGGCAAGAGCACCTCAAGCTAACAAACTGCATGAACTCAGGATAAGTGGGCATGAATTGCCAGAAACAAGTTTCTAATCAGTAGCTTTCTCCAGTCAGAGAGGTGCAAAGAAATCTAGAATTATTTGTGTTGGAAGGGACCCCAAAGATCATCTAGTTCCAATTCCCCTGCCATGGCCAGGGACACCTTCCACTACACCTGATTCGTTCTAATAAGGGGCTTTATATCCTCCAAGTGCAAAGCCTGGACTGCAGCTGATGACTGAGGATGTTCCTATGCAGTGCAGCTACTGCTGCACACTTTCTGCTGATATAAGGAAATATTAAATATCGCTTGCAACCACACGCTATAAACATAACTGTTATCAATGAAACATTACATGATGGTACCAGAACTATTAATGTTTACCATCTTCATTGCTCTACGAAGGAACCAACGCAAAGACCTTGGCTCAGTTGCACTTGCCATCCTTTATACGTTAAGAAGGAGCAGAATTAGACATAGCTGACTGTGAAAGCCAGTCTTGAATGTCTGTTACTGAAAGAGGAAGATGATGAGGTAATGGGTGAAAGACAATGAGTGTAGATTGTTGATGGGGTGAAATGCTATAGTAGTGCTTTGAGGAAGACAAAATTTGAGTAGAATGAGATTATAAGATTGCTCTGAGCAACCTGATCTGACTTCAGTGCTGACCTGGCTTTGAGCAACAGAGGACTAGGGACCCTTTAAGATCCCTTCCCTCCTGAATGGTTCTGTGTTTTAACTAGACAGCCATTCAGACTGCAGTGTGGCTACGGACATATGGACACACGAACACACTTCTAGGTCCCATCTGGTAGCAAGACACAAGGTGTATGTCAGCCTTTCTCCTCTTCATCCCCTACGCTAGAAACAGCCTGAATACATGAGCCAAGAGGGAAGTGCACCTTCTACTTCACCTGGCTGTGGTCCCCGAGGTGCCAGCTCTTCAACTCTTACAGTTAAAATGAGTGGTGACACTAAGGTACACAGACTTCTCAGTACACATCACTTCTTCTCACTCCCTAGTTACATCTGTCCCTTTTGACTTAATTCTCCACCCCTCTGCTGACTCCATGAGTAGGAAGCAACTAGTCACTAGTGGCTAATCCAGAAGCCACTCATAAAGTTAAAACCATCCTCAGAGAGACTCATAAATCACTTTCCATTTAGGCCTAGAGGCACCATGTTTCCTCTCACCGATCAGCAAACAATGCTCTGTCAAGTACACCCATCATTTGCAAATAGAATTATAATAACTGAACACTTACTGCATTTGAGCTGCTCTTTCCAGCTCCATTGTGATAAGACCTAAATAAATACACTAAATGGAACTCCCTGCCTCAAAGTACAGCCTACCTTGTGAACAAGTTAAAAAATTGTGTCCCGTTTTCATCAGCCTCACACAAAGCGGATGGAGTGCACTAAACCATGTGAAAAGCTGCACTAACTGATTTCCTATGCCTCTGAATGTACATTGGAGCTATCCTGCCAGTCCTGGAGCAAAATTCCCACAGTATCAGGGCTTTCTGTTATTGTGCAGCTTGAAGTAACTTGGAAATGAACGAAGCTGGGCACGTCCTACTGTGACAGTATTACACTTTTCTTTGTTAAAATAAATAAATAACATTAAAAAAAGTAAGGCGGCCCAAATTCCAAAATGAATTTCAGTTTCATAGTAGTTTCAGTTTTCACTTTCAGTCATTCGCAGAGAAGTTTGCAACAGCTGTGAAAAGGAACTGCTACTACCTGTGCACTTAATAAACTGTTCATTATGTGTGGGTGATCTTGTATGGCATCATACGACTTTCAACTAATTGGTGTTCTAAAATGCTGTTCTTGATTGTCCCATTCTTAGCACTTTCACACACTTTGTGAAACTCTGTTATATGAAATAAATGACTCTCCACAAAAAAAATAGACTCCTCAGTTATTGCTTTTTTTCTTGCAATATAAAGGGCCTTTAAAGGTAATGATTTGTTTCATACCCTTTTTGAAAAAAAATTTTAAAAATGACAAATGATCAAACAAACTCCCCTTATTTTACTGGAGCTAGAGAAGTAAAAAGCACTAAAAAAGGGCATTACTGGGAACTGCAATTTTCATTCTTTGCTACTATGTTGAACCAAGATTAAAATATTAGCAGTTATCTTTAAAAGGAGCTTCAATAATTTTTTGACATATTTTCAGCCATAGTATTATACTATTTTTAATAATTTTTTAAACAAACCAGTCTTGTGTTACTGTTTAATTGAACTCTCTCCAACTAAGAGAACTGATTTCAATACAAATTTCCAGACATTTAATTTAGCAGGTATCTTGAATAAATCTTTGCTATTTGTCTGGTTTATAAAGTTATCAGTGAAACTTAGGTCCCTGCTAATGTTACTTTAAATTACCTGATACTTAAGGGTAATTTTAGAACAGCTTCTATAGTCATAGGGAGTTTCTCATATCACCAATCTCTTATAACATGTAACCTACTGCTTTTTGTTTCCCAGGGCTTATAACATAATCAGACACCACACTTCCAGTGGAGATGACTGTCCAAGACATTTCATATCTAATTTTATGCTGAGCCTGTTAACATGCTGCAGATTTGTCCTAAGTATTCAAAACTACCAGCAAAGTACTGGTATCTGACATATTAAACAGTGCCTTAGATCAGGAAGGATCATTCTGTTAACTAATGTCTCAATCACTTACATATACCTCCTAGTATTCACACCAGTACTTCTGCATTAAGCCCAAAGATCTGAATTAAGCCAAAGCAGTTCAGTCCTCATGAGACAAGCCTGTGCACCACAGGCAGGGAAGAAAGGCCACTATCCAAAGCCCTCCATTAGTAGGGAATTGATGAGACATGCTTGAATGATCTCTACAGTTAATGCTTGTCTGAGAGCCTGATATAAAGTCCCATTTCATAAAGACCTAAAAGTCTTTTCCTGCTTCTCTTCCCAGACATGCTTGACTTTACAAGTAGCATTCTCGAGCAGAAGTGCTTTTCCCAAAATACAGACTTACACTTATGCAGCACCTCTCATGCATAAAGTGTAACATTCCTACTGCTTTTCCAGAGGAAAAAAAAATCTTTGACACAAAATTATCTTTATGAACAGGTGAGCTTTATACTTCTCTTAAAGGATGACATTTTAAGGAATGGGCTAGTCAAATGTCAAGAAATGGATCCCTGGATCATGATTTCAGCAAGCTATTACAATTAACACTGTAAAACAATTTGTTTGTGTTGCCTCCAGAAATTTTACAGTATATATTATTTCTATTTTGGCAGATATTCAGTTAGGAAGAATATGTGAAGATGCTTTACTTACTGCATTGTCCCCCAAAGCTGTTTTGATGCTAATCCGTACTTTGAAAGCATTCTGTGCATCTGACACAAAGGGAAAAAAGCAAACATATATTGATAGTCAGCAAAAATAGGATTTTAAATAATTTACTTCCCTAATTATTTCATGAATGGCAGCTTCTAAATGTGTCTTAACAGATCACCTGTATAAGAGAACAGAAGTTACTAGCACGAAAAAAGCCCTACAGAGATTTACCATGACCTCTTTAAGTGAGATCAACTTCCATACTTAATTTGCAAACTCCTAAAAGAAGTGAATGCTCAGCATTTCAATCCTCAAATTGAAGACTAGAGTTAAAATAAAAATCTGAGAAGCTGGCAGCTTTGTAGTCATAAAGTGATACCTACTTTACTTGGGGAACAACGGGAATCAGCTCCAAATCTTACCTGGTTTGCAGAGCTCAGCATGAGCAATAGCAACTACAGAGAGTATAAGCAGCAAAGCCCGTAACATTCCGTCAGCATGGAAAGGTTGAGGCAAAAAGAAGTCGAGTCTCCCCTGTAAAGCACTCTTAAACTTTCTGCGACCCAGGATTAAAGCATCAGGAACACAAGTGAGCAACTAAGTAAAAGGTTTAATAATTAACCCCCGTTATCTTAGCTAAAAACAGGCACTAGAAACAACTGTCTTCTCCTAGTTATTTACTACGTTTCTCTGTAACAAAAAAAAAAAAAAAAAGACATAAGTTTTTAAATTTCCTTCTTTCTTTTTAGAAAAATACAGAATGTCACAGGGTGCTCCAGGCCAACCTTTTTTTTCCCACAGCTGCAATGTCAGACAGACACACAAGATGTCTGTGGGATGTCACACCAGAGGAGCCAGCAACTGTGACCCACAGCAGCTGAATCGGAAAGTTGCCTGCCACCAGATCCCAAAGGAAGCTGCCACCGGTCTTTCATGGGAAACTGTCTGGCCCCACAGAGGGTCCTTGAGGATAAAGGAAGACTGGGCACCCTTTTCACTCCTCCAAAAGAAAGGCGTGATGAATGCAGAACCCCCAGACCCAAAAGCAGGGCTCTGGATTTGCTCCTCACTTGCCTTTGAACTCACAGCACTTCTGAAGGGTCACTCTGGTGGGCACACATTCCCACCCTGGTCCCACTCCTGCCTCCTGGCTCAGGAGCTGGTCTGAGCCAAGCAAAGCAAATACCTTGTTCCACTCAAAAACACCCCGCATCTGAGGCATAGCTTTGCATGAAAAGAACTGTTATACATATGGAGAAATACGTCACAGGCTTGTTACAGTAGGAACGAGAATAAGAAAAGGTGCAATAAAAGGACATGAGAAACATGTTGAATAGGGACATGTTCTTGTTTTGTAGACATGATATGCTGTGTATACATATAAACACACGCATGGAAATATTTTAATTATGCACTCCACACTATTAATCAAATATTTACCAAGACAAATAAACAAATGTGGAGGAGAAACAATGCAGAAACTGAAATGCATTGCAGGTACTTGAACAGTCTTTGCAATCTAGGCAGCCAGACAGGATTATTTTATTCCACTCTGCTGCTGTACTCCCCCTGCAGCCATTTGATTAATGATTAGTTCCTAAATCGAAGATTGCTTCAGAATTACTTTCAGTTGGTTCTTTAGCACTTAGAAGTGTGTCTGGAGACTGCAAGCCCAAAGACCTCCACACGAATGACAAACAGTGAGAAAATTTGACTTTACTGTTGGACTGAATTTATGGAAAACAATAACCAGTATTTACTACGTTAGAATAGCTGGACTTTCAGGTAACAGAGAACGTAACTGTTTCAGTAATTTAATCTTATTTTTAGAAGCCACTGTTAAAGGACTTGATATCCCATCTTTAAAAGTCATTACACCAAGCTGATTCCCAGGCACCTCTTCGGTCTCACTAGGCAACCAGTTCTGAGTACAAAACTATTGGATATATTATCTACTTAGATGTTCAGTCTATGCCTATGAAAACAAAAAAGTGATGCATTAATTTCTAATGACACCTTAAATTAACATGTTGTATGTACACACATCAAAAGGAGAGCACTGAAAAATGTACAGATGTATGAAAGACTATCCTGTAACATTTGTAACTTAAAAAAACTTAAAAGAATGTGAATGCAATCAGTTTCATGGTAAATTCATTTGCATTGCTTCAATAACGAGCATGAAAACTTTTTTCTACCTTTGGGGAAAACACTGAAGAACTTGGGAAGAGAGGAGAAATGCCAAGTACTCTTTCCCTGCTGCTAGAAGGCAAATGGAACTAAGTGTCAATACAGAACATCACCTCTTTTCCCCCCTGTAAAACACCATAAATCAGTTCTTTCCCTCAGAATCACATGGAGCCGGTGTCAAAGTACATCAAAGGCACACAACGCCCAGCAGGAACAACTCAGAGGACATGACTGGATTCCCTGATCAGGGCTGCTGACTTCCAGCCCGGATGGCTGATTTTCCCCAATTTATCTTGCTGGCAAGAAGCAAGACAAATGATTTTTTCCAGCAGAGAGGGGAGGAGGCCAGGGGAAGCAGCAGTGTGATAAACACCCTAGCTCAGAGCTCACAGGGTGCACATCGTGCAGCTGATATATATGTGCACAGCAACTTGGATGTGTGCCAAATGCATCCAGCTGAAGGGCCCTGTGCTTATCCAGCTGTATATGCACAGAGCACTGCACATAAGCAACTGATTGCTGCACATCTGTAAATTGTTTTTGAAAGCCAGCATGTTTTTTAAACAAGACAGGTGGACATGCAAGGTGTTAGTAAGAAAATAACTTTTCTTCAAGTGGAAATGGTATTTTTAAGTACTGTCTTAAAAAGCACTGTAACTTTTCAGGCTACAAATGGAGTATATCTGCATAATCTAAAAAGACAGACAGTTTGTATCTCTGTAATAAATGTACCTGCATGGATAACCTTCTGCCCAACCTCTCTGCTCCCATTTTGGCCAGATATGGAGCACTGTTAAAGCACGTTTGCATTTGTTTGCCACTGATTAATCAATCAGGCATCAGTTTGCTTGAACAAATAATCTACATGCACATATGCGCTGTATGTTTTCAACTCTCTACTTTGTGAGGTTCTAGATTTTTAAGTAGTTCCTCTTTTATAGTACCTTTGTTTCTCCTAACTACTGTTGAGCTACAGGTCATAGCCATGAAGAATTTCATACACAATTTGCATTCCAGAAACATCACTGAACTAGTGCAAAGAATTATTTCCCTTGTTGTGCTAAATGTATTTGTCCACCTGGTTGAAAATAAGAGTATCTCTATAATTTTCTTCAGCACTTGTGGCCTCCAGAAGTTCATCTATTATCTGTACGTATATATTTAGTAGCATATATACCTAACTACCAAACAAATCAGGAGAGGACTGAAATTTCAAGAAACATGTGACTCAGTAAAGCAAACAAACAGACCCCTTCCATCTTCTCCATGTGATTAGCAAAGTACTTTTTCTGCTCCTTTCAATGTCTTTGAAATGGAAAATCTCAGGCAAGTAAAATATTGATAGCTATCCTATAAGTTAATTAACAGCTATGGCCAAACTTAACCTCAGTTTTCAAATTTGACAAATTAACAGTTTTAAACTCTGAGGAAGTTAATCTTTAGTCTTAAATAGTTGCGTTCAACTCTTATGAGGCAGGAGTCAATGTGTGTCACTCATGGAAATGTACCTGGAGAACTGCAGACTCAGTTGTGCAGAGCACTGTGCAGTTCCCCAGGGGCAATGGAAATGACAAACACTGTATATCTTCTGCAGGCTGCAGAAACTGATGAGATTGGGATCTAAGCAAATCTCAGTATCATCTGATAGACCAGGCTGGCTGATAAAGGTCCAGCCTGTCTCATTAAATGTGAGTTTTCCCAGAAGGTTTTAGGGGAACAGGGTGTTGAAGGAGGACTGCCACCACTGTAATCACTGTAACAGTGCAAAAGTGACTTAAGTTGTCACAGAGTTTTTATCAGTGCTCACAGAAGCAGACAACATGAGAGAAATTGTTAACCCCTTGAGACAGTCGTGCTGGCATTAGCAGCGGGGGGGGGGGGGGGGGGGGGGAAGGACGTGCTCTCCAGCATTCACATGTATCGCCTTGGAAAGGGCACTTGGCAGTGGAAAGCACTCAGAACAGCCTACAGTGGGGCTGGTATTGAGAGTGAGCAAACAGAGGGGGTGGGGAAGGGTGGTGCTGCCACTTCACTATTGTGTTTGTAGTACAACCTACAGCTCTGAAGTGTCAATGAAAACTGTCGCATCCCAAACCCACACTTCCTGGATGTTTCCTAGTTAACATGTATTTTCTGAGTCAGACAAATCCATACTAATGATTGACTGCCATATCCCACATGTTCTCTTATGTTCATTTTCTTCAGCTAGAAAAAAAAAAGAGATGTACAATTCCATGAGGAAAGTACCACTCTTCTCCTGAAGCATACAGCAAATATTATGTAAGGCGAGGACAACTTTTACATAATCTATATGCTTATAAAATGTATCTTTCCTTTTTCCATACAGGGCTTGGGCAAACAAGAGTGAACACTTCTTATCTGCTTATGTCAGTCCACAATGATGGAAATACACGAAATGGAAACCAGAAGAAGCACATGGAAAGGAAGTGCAAATGTGTGCCAGATGGAGTCTCTGCACTCTCGCTCAGATCTGCTCTACTACACATGTAGAGTTCGGTGCACACATCTTGAAAGACATACAGAGATTTATAATGCAACGTGGTAAGTAACTTCAAGTTGTAAGATAAAAGTTTCTCTGCTCTGGGCTATTCCATGAAGTATAATCTGCACATCCAGTACCGACCTTGTCATGATGAGGTTCACATGACACTGTACCATGCAAGCGTACTTTTGTCTAGGAAATACAGAAGAATAAGTTCCACAAACTTCTTGAAGGTGTCCACCAAAATAAACTATGCTTGTAAAGGACTGTGGTCTGTAATTCCAGTGCAAGGACTAACAGCTACGGACAGGAATGCTACATTACTTTGGATATGTGAATGGTTCTTGCCTGGAATGGTCATATGTTTTTCTTTCTTACACTGTATCAATTAAATTGTATGAAAGTCTGTGCCTGGACTTGAATATAAAGCTGCTGTATGTGTATAAATTAATAATAAACAAAATGGAAACAAATGTAATTATACTGCATTCCTATTTTGAAGAGGATGATAGTTTTTTTCAGAATCATTATGGATATTTGTAATAGCTGTTTTGTGTTTTGTTAAAAAGAGATCCTATTTTTCCCTATTGAAATATATAAGCTCAGATGGTGCCTTCCCCAAGTACATTGGGAAAATGCCATGATGAAATGTAGCACACCAATCAAAGGAATGATTGAATTTCTCAATTTTGACTCATACATAGTTTAAGGGAAGGTTAATATTATGGCACTTACTCTGTTGAAAGGAGGATGAAAAGTTATAGTTGCAATTTCCTAATGAAATAAGATTATGGAAAATATCTGGTTGCTTTTGTCAAAATTTCCATGGGTGTCAATGGTTCAACAGTTGTAAAATGCACAATACTGCCATCTTCTGTATCCAAGAAGCAGCAAATTGTATGTTATTTTACATGTATGTTCTGCATAAGAAACAGTAAAAGTAATAGTGGTAACTCAACATTTTAAGACAGTCTGGGATCTGACACGTGGTTAAGTAATAGCAGAGAGGTCACAGGCTGAATATTCATTGGTCAGATAGCAAATGTAA